TTTGCATAAATGATTTGTGAATATCGCTTGGTTTCTTAATTACATTTGGTAGGATACCACTAAGACCTGGATATTTATTAATGTTGATTGCTTCTAGTATCCTAGATACGTTTGTCCCTTCTATGTTAATACTATTCAATGCACAGTATTTTCCCTCCAGCTGAGGCAAGTTGTTGACTTTTTCCTTTATGAAAAGCGTAATTGAAACACTTATTTTATACATCAGCCATTTCCCTTTATTCTCCCATATATATTTTACTTTATCCATTATGGTTGTTTTGGTGTACTGAAATTACTGAAAGAACATGATATTATTTATTTTAGTCTACCTTGCAATATTCCTTTTAAATGTTCTCTTGGTCTTTCTAATATCTGTTTTACCTCCTTTTTCATCTTTTCTATGTTTTGATAAACCCTGAAGATATCCTTTTTCTGTGATGCTTGATCGGTTTAATACAAGAATTCATGTCTTTCTAGGTAAAAATAAAAGGAATTTTAACCTGTCTTTTATGGAACTAATTTCTCTGCTCTTAAGGCACTTTCATATACAGTAAATGAAGATGTTCCTGTGGAACATTCCACATCCATATCATCTGGACTTTCAATTGATTTGCCTACCTGTCAATTTATGTCCTCTGTGTTAAGATGTTAAAACGTTAAATTTAGTGTCCGTCCATAGAAAATAAGGGAAAATCGTAATATGAACTAATTTAAAACCTTTTACGTTAAAATAACTTTCTGCTTATAGATTTAATAAATATTTTTAAGAAATATTCAGTGCATTCATATTAGAAAGTAATTTTTTTCTGTCGAACTGTAAACAAATTGTACCTAAAGTTACACATTCTTTTTTTACAGTTGTATGTTTACTATACCTGTTCTGCATCTGACAGAGCTGTTTTTTCCAGATATCGAGTGCTTTGCATTAACATTTTTTATATATCACGGCTGAAAAGTTTAATTCTGCATCACAGCTTTTGGAGATAATCTTAGAAGTGCAGGTACATAGTATTAATTTAACCTGTATTTTCTCATTTTCTGTTTGTGTAGGAGATTAGGTTATGCCCAGTAGAACTTGTATTGCACAACTTTTGCCCTCTAAAACCGTCAGTAAATGGTGTAATGTATGCATGTTATCATGTTTTCCTGAAGTTGATTTTATTACTGCCTCTTTATACTGTACGTGTTTGCGTGACGATGAACACTGTGACCAAAGAGATTACATGTTTTCAAGATGAAAAAAACCAATCTGTGCATTTACCAACTAAGATTAGTTTACCTGCCTTCAAATCTCTTGTGTGTTTTTATGATTAATTAAAAGAAACATTAATCTTTGGCAGAGCTTTAGGCCAGCTTACTCTGGATGCAGCCCTGACAGATGTGTCATAAACAAGGTTAACATTCAGTCAAGTCTGGAAATAATAATTATGTATTGATATAAGTTTTGAATCGCTAGTTACAGTCAGACCACATGGTACATGACTTATTGCTTCTGTATATGAAAAATACTTTAAGAGTCAATATGTAAGGTCACATGGCCTAAGGGCATGCCTGGATCCGAATTTGGGTTTTTATAAGAGGTTATTTGCATGTAACAGCAGAAACTGTATCGAACCTCAATTAAATGAGAAAGAGGGGTTGGTGTTTGAGGGTTTAAGAAATATATGAATTTAAAAAAGGTTATAAACGAGAGGAAGTTTTTCAGCCTTTCTAGCCCTTACATATAGTTTGCCTTGAGTTGCGATCGAGGTCTTGAAGATTGTGATCCATGTGAATTCAAGACTTTTGTGTCTTCTGTCTTTGCACAGTAGCATAAATAACCTACAGGACTGAGGCATTGAAAACCTTGTTTTGTAAAACAAACACTTTCCTTGCAAATCTTTCAGTAACATAGAAATTTTTTGATTCAAGGATACAGCCATTTCTTGAAAGATATCAAGGTATTGGCTACATGGCTGAGTAGCTTGTTCCAGACTCCCACAAATTCAACTATGATGTACAGAACACTGGCTTTGCAACTGAATCAGTTTTATGCTTCTATCCTTCTCTTCTAGTAAAAAAGATAACAGAAAAGAAGTCATGCAACATTTTAGCAAATGACTCTTTCACATTCAGCCAAGAACAAGGAGTAGGACACTGAAGGGCAGGACAGAGAGGGAAGAGAAAGAGGTATAGCGATTGCTGCTGTATACAGATCTGTGCTTAATGTCACGGGAAACAATTGAGCACATTTGTCTTCATTAACAGTTCAGAGGAGTTTTTCTCAGACAATGCTGGGATGACAGTTTACAGGCGCTCTTCTTCTACAATTACTGAACTTGAGGCTGTGAACAGAGGGTAATTAGTTTCATATCCTATGCTATCCGCAACCTAACAGTCTTGTCATCCTGCAATGGATTATGTAATGAAGACAAGTGCTTACAGTATTTAAAGTGTCACAAATATTTTGTGGTTTAATCAAAATGATGAGGATTTCTGAACACAAGCATAATGTCTGCTCTTTTTTCACCAGTGAGCAATGTCAAGACCCACCTTGCACCTTGTCTCCTTCATCATATACTGTATGTATCATCCTCCTCCAATATTAATCGCTCACCACATATCGCATTCCAAATTAGCAAGTAAGCTTCTTCATCACTACTTTATCCTTTATCCTTCCCTAAGTACCAGCTTACCTGAAACAATAAAATCATCTCAGAACATTGTGCCATGATCTATTTCAAAATGTCTGGGATTCCAGACACTCCCAGAGGAGCAGTATTGCAGCACATCCTTAATTCTTGATATAGAAAGACAGTGGACTTGTGGACAAAATTCAAACAAAATTAAAGGTGTGCAGATACAGTAGTGTTGAAATGACAAGAGAGATCTCATGTAGTTGTGATAATCCCTGTTGTTTGTGTTACGCAGGGACAGAAATTAAGGAATTTTCTTCATGCTCAATCCCAGTCAATTGGCTAACAGCTTAGTGTCAAAGTATTTTCTCTTCAGGTGTTTAAATTTGTAGAAACCTCTTTTAAAAGCTTGAAACGTGAAGGGATTTGAAGCATTCTATTCACTTTTGTTATCCCTCTGTAGAGGTATGTACATTAGACATTTTATATGTTTTTTACTCTAAATCTATAAAGACAGTGTAATTCTGTATGATTCCAATTTTTTCTGTGTCACTTTTAAACCCCAGACAGTCAGAAAGAAGTGTTTGTGGCCCTGTTCATAATATCCTTTCCAATAAACTTTCCAATTTCCAGTATATTCAATATACTGTACTGCAGAAGTCACATAATAAATATAGTGAAGAATACAGGGTTAAGTATAAATATGATATAATTTCAATTGGAAAAATAAGTGAAACTGTATATGTTAGGATTGTGAAAAAATTGAATATTTGGCCTTTAAGTAAAGTCTTGAATTAAATTTTACTGGGTCTAATTTTACATTATTTTAAGAGGTCTTGATTTCACTGTTGGTTGCCATTATTTGTACATGCATCAGTTACATGCTTGACTGTGTCAGAGTTTCTGTTTTTTTCAGTAGGTGATCTGTTTATTCAATTAGACATAACCTGATATAGGCATACCAGTCGAAGGCTCCACAGCCAAAACATTGTTTGTTTTCTTCTCTTTTCAGCATGGAATAAACCTTTACTTGTTCCTTAGCAGCCTACGCATGGTGACGCAGCTGCCTACTTGAACATAATCAGATATACGGTATAATTGGCACCTTCTCAAATCCAATTGAGCGTTCCCATATTTAAAGACACAGCCAAAAAATTTTTACAAATTAAAGTGGAAGAATATACAGTGTTACTTTTAATAATAATAATAATATTTGCTTACACTTATATAGCGCTTTGCTGGACACTCCACTCAAAGCGCTTTACAGGTAATGGGGACTCCCCTCCTCCCCCCATGTGCAGCATCCACCTGGATGATGCGACGGCAGCCATAGTGCGCCAGAACGCTCACCACACATCAGCTATCAGTGGGGAGGAGAGCAGAGTAATGTAGCCAATTTTCTTCATGACTTTCCCTCTGCAATGGAAAATCTAGATATTTTGAGCACTAATTACATTTTGAAAAAACAAACGTGTTGGAAATGGATTTTAACCTACTTTCAGGTGAACTCTGGTTTTTCATTTTCATGCTACAATGGCTTTATCCAAATACAGTGATTGTCCTTTTCTTTTCAAATGTTTGCCTTTGCATTCATGTCCTGCTTTGGTAGTCCTGCCCCAGTGCACAGGAAAATTATTGGTGTTAATGGCCCTGCTTATATAATCTTTGGCTTTATGTGAGTGAATTCCAGGACTTTCTCCTACTGGCCCTCCAGATCAGACAACTATACATAGCTAATCAAATTAAACAGTACATGCTTGAGGAGAAAACATTTTGAGCATTTAAAGAGCACATACTGTGTAATATACAGCAATCCCTCATTATATGAACTTAATCCATTCCTTGAAAACTGCTTGAAAGGCAAAAACGTGTATAACAGAAAAATAATTTTAAAGTACTTCTTGTATTATAATTTCACAATCTGGATTGGTTACAGAACTCAACCATGTTCCCTCAAACACCCAATCCTCACATTAATACAGCACAGAATGGTTAATTATTTTTAATTATTTGGTTAACTACTGGGCAGATTGGTTAATTATTTGAGTAACAAGCTTAAAGTCATTAGCCAATGAAATAAACAATAGGTAAGAAAACATCAACTCTCCTCTCATTTACGGTACAGTACTGTAAAGCAGTTACGTCATTACAGTCGTTAGCAAATCCGTAAACATTAGGTCCTATCCTGTGCTATACTACACAATTAAGTTAAAAGTCAGATAAGCAATACAATTCCGTTATAAAAATCATTGAATTATACTGTATGTGTTAAATGGTCATTGACCATAACCCAGTTGTTATACAATGAAATTGAAAAATGCCCATCTTCATGAATTTGTATTTTTCTGACTTCTTATTTTTATTTTTATATATTATATTTTACAGAGACCAGGCGATGATATGCTTGTTGACCTTGAAAAAAAGTCACCTTAACAAGCGTAGTAGCTTCACGGGAACATCTGGCACGGTGGAATTTTAAGGTATTCATTAGCCCTGTCTTATGTGAATCTGGATAATTGCCTAGAATTGCAGCTGTTGCACTTGCTGACTTGGCTCAGTCCCAGCTTTCCTGTCACAGACACCGGTAATGGACTTGCACGAGATGCGGAGGATAGCGTGTGAAAAAATTAAAATGGGGGTGACCTTCAAGTACACATTTGTCTTTACGTTTTAGACTATGTTAACCTCTACAGTGTTTAAACAGCATGCACAGTCTTTCTAGCAATTTATTTAATAACAACCTAGCGTGTACCACTATTGTAAAATGCTACTCCATTCAATTTAAACTGAAAATTGAGTCTCAGTCAGGAGGTGTGTATACAGCATCATGTATTTTATATGGATTAGTGGATTTAGATCCCATCCTTCAAGGTACCTGTATCGTGAGTAACCCCTTGAGTTCAGCAGAATCACTCTCTGATCAGATTGACACAAAGAAAGCACAGCAAGACAGATAGCTAGAGATAGCTTCAAAGAGGCCTTGTCTAGCTACTCATTGATGGTTGGCACTTGTGATGTGATAATGTATTTGGCCAGGGGAAGAGAGCTTTGAGATAATAACAATACATTTAATTTATATAGCATGTTTCACTGACTCTCAATGTGCTTCACATATAGGAAAGCTAAAAGAAACCGAGGAGCACAAACTTTGCTAAGAAGGAATTAGATAGGTAATCAAACAATTTACAGTACTGGAAGCTGATAGGCGTGCTGGTAGAGAAGGGTTTTAAGATCACTTTTAAAGGTCTCAGTTGAAAGTGCTTGTCTGAGATGACTATGGAGGCTATTCTACAGGCAAGGAGCACAGGCAGAGAAGGCACCTATGGTGTGTAGCTTGGTCCCAGGGACCTGCAGCAGATGAGACTGACCTGATCTAAAAGACCGGGGTGAAATTTGAAAAGAAAGAATGTCAGCGAGGTACACTGTAGATGAGGTCTTTGCCTTCTTGGCCCTTAAACACCAGAAGCAATACGTATTACTCTCTGGTGGATGGGAAGCCAATGGATCTTTGTAGAATAAGAATAGTGGGGATGTGGTCTGTAATTCAAACCTGAGCCAAAGCATTGCTTGAGCTCTAATGGGCAAAAGATCTTTAGAATCAAACTCTCTTTTGTGTATTTATCTAATTTCTTTACATTTCATATGATATTAACAGTTTCTAGTACATTTACCTGAAGGTCCAATATGTGTGTCTCCAGACTGAGGTTCCAAAGTCCTGAGTCAGTCAGTATTCACAGGGTGAAGTATTAAAAGACTCCTTTAGTCCTGGAGCTGCTTTGTTTCCATACTCAGCAATTGGAACTCTGGCAACCAAGTCTTCAAGACATCAATAATAAATAATAAAACAACACACCAGCTGTTCTGAAGGGCAAATGGGGGAGCAGGGTAAGATCCCTGTCTTGGTCTCCAAGGCTTCCAATCACATGTGTGTGACTTGATATGCAGTGGTTTCTCTACAACAAAAGATATCACACTCAGGGGTCTTCCATACCCAGCTAATTTCAGTAAGTGTCATGGATGTCGGAAAGGGCATGCCGTGGAATGGCCAGGAGAGCAATAAAGACCCAATGCGTAGCGGCACAACGGGGGTTAGCCTGGGCTCAGGAGATCAGACGATGTAGAAACCTTTGCCCTCACAGAGGGGACAACCTGGTGCTAGGCGGGTCTCAAGACATCCGAACCCTCAATGCTGATCAAGGAGGAAAGGGTGACCGGGAAATATATAGCCCCACAAAAAGACACACCAGAAGGACAAGCAAAGCACAGGAAAACTAGGAACAGGACGGAATAGGAGCGCCCTCTAGCTGTAGAGTGCGAGACAGTAAGAAGTACAATAAGCCCTTCGGAAACCAGTGTATTGCAGTGGGAGCAGGACAGTGATGTCTGGAAGGTTCAGGTTATGATCTGGCACGGAGATGGCTTTTATAAGATGGGCTATCAAGTACTTGGGTTAAGACAGAAAGTGCATTTTGGTAACGGCACCTGAGCAGTCCTGTATAGGATCTGATCTGCAGAAACATTTTGAGGAGGCGCTAGAAACAGCGCCTGAAAATAGTCAGTCGAGACTGGATAGCACATCCAAAGTATCACAATCCTGCAGCTGAAAAACATAAAAGTACGTATTATAATTTGGGATCTGGAACATCAAGGGCCTCAGGTGTTGACCAGTAAGGATCTTCAGGAATGCGTGCATTTGTGGTTCAAGATCTCCGAAGCTGTGACATCCATATCGCCACCTTGAGTGACACCCGTTGAGCTACGAAAGGGCAACTCAAGGAATGTGGACTGGATAGACCCTATTCTGGGAGCGAAGACTGTTGGATTTATGAAGTTGGAATTGCCATCAAGAATGAAATCATAAACCACCTTTGTGAGTTCTCTCTTGGAATCAATGAAAGTCTCACGTGTCTTCACCTCATCACTGAATTAACAAATTCAAATCTCTTCATCTCAAATTCTCAATGAATCTACATGCTTTTTATGTATGGCCTTCCTCTAGAGTCAGATGATAAGGAAAACGACTTGATAATCTTACTGAACTCACAGCTACTAGCGTCTGTGCATGCCAGAGCAACCCAGTCTCCAAGCAGAGCAGGCTGACCCACAAACAAGCAAAGGTAGAGCTTCTCGAAGAAGCACTAAAACAAACACTTATATATTCAATTTAATCTCACAACCCAGGTCCAGCAGTTCCCAGCAAAATCTCATTCGCTCAGGAAAGCACTTCAAATTATTAGGGTTCAGAGCTCTCAGGCAGTCTCCACACTCCACATTTGTTGCTTATGTACAGTATGTGTTGATGTTTTTTTCAGGGAGACTATGAGAGTAGAATAAACTTTTTTTTTCAAACTAGACAACACAGTGCCAAGAACATTTTAGAAATGCATGTTTCAGTATCTGAAAAACAATGGCACCGTGAAGATAAAAAATTCTGTTTTTCAGCAACACTTATTTTCTAGCTACAAATCATAAGGAAATCTAGAATATTTTAACTTTGTTGGAGCTATGAAAGCACAGTAAATAATGGCCTCTGGTGTTCCCACGTCACCAATGTATATATATGTTTGTGGTCACTGCATATTGTATATTTTATAAATATGCAACATAAGCACAGTTCCTGAGATTTATCAAACCTATAAATGCAGAGGTGTCTCCATTGCTTAAGTATCCTGCCTCTGCAAAGCTTTGCGAATATTGAACACATTGCTGTGCTTTCCATTGCAGATATCCCTCTTACCTCCTTAAACTGTTACTTTGCATGTTTACCATTCCATGGTAGTGTATGTAACACAGTTTAAAATATGTCAGAAAATTACATTTTAAATGGTACAATATCATACCTTTCCATTGGTCATCAGCAACATGCTTGGATTACAGGCCTGTGTTTCCTTTTGGCTGAATGACCTTTGCTGCTCTTTGAAAAGTATGAAGACTTTTCAAACGATTGTGTTCAAGATGAAGAATGCATGAGCATGGAGGAAGGCAATGTGCTATATAAAGTATAACAAGAGTGTGAACATTGATTAGTTGTGGCTGTTTTACAATGCATGAAAAGGGAACTGTTAAAACAGACATCTAAGTCTGCTTTGTGTATATAAACTCAATGATAGCAGTCAAATACAGTCGCCCCTTATTAGGATACATCAGTGCAACATACTCTAGCTTATATTGACTAGGTATACAGTATATCTAACAAGGAGTACCTCTAAAGGTGTTTTCAGGAACAAGTAATTGCTATTAATCATGGAACTGTGAATATTAATCTGCTGTGGCTATTTCACAACTCTAGAAAGCAGAACCATCTAAACAGACTTCTAAATCTGTTTTGAGTACATAAAAATTAGCAGCCATGGACAGTGGGTTTTCCCTTGTTAGGGCTCATCACCATGACATGCTTGCTTCTAATGCAGCAAGCAGGAGGATAAAGGTTCTTCAATCATCAAAACTGCAATGCAATCTTAAACACTAATTGTAAACATTGACTTCTGGAATGAAAAATTCAATAGTGATTTTGTAATTTACAAAGGGAAAGTGAATTAATTCAAGTCTCTAAAACAGAACTGTGACACTGATATTAAAATGACAGAACTGGAAGGGAATGAACTGTAAAGTAATTATAATTGTAGACTAGAAGGGTGGAAACTAATCTTTGTATCTGAAGCTTGGCGCCAGACTATTCTTCAAACACCTGTTAGATTTTTTCACAAGAGTGAGTGCATGCTTAATGAATCTTTAAAAAGAAACTGATAATGTGGTTATGACCCATTCTCACGGAAGTGTTTGACTTCCCACTGCGGGGTTAACTGAGCGACACAATGGCTTCCTCATAAGCTTAAACTAACCAGGAATTCTATAAGTCTAGAACATATTCTTATTTATTAACCTGAAATACCTCTGTAATTTAATATGCTGTTTTTGTACACCCTGGATGGGGCGTCTGTCCTTGTAGGGCACATATTGTTTCATCATGTAAAATAACCCAATTATGTTTGCAGTTAACTACTGTCATAAGGGTTATAAAATTGATTTTTGTTTTACTTTATGGCCAAGAAGGCTCAGTGTCAAATTCCGAGCAGGAAACAAGGTGAGCAGGCAGGAGTGATTGAAAGCAGAAAAATGACAAAGCCATGTCATGTGTCATAAAGCTACTAGCTTACAGTACTGCCAGACATTATTAACTGTAAATCCTGGTTCCTGAAACTTTCAAGCTTGTAACACTACATTTATTACTATATAGATTATTGCTCTGTAATAAAACACATTAGATAACATTTATGAAAATAACAGTAAAATATAATAATAATAACAGCTGTTCAGCTAGGTCTTATCAGGAATATCTTTCAGTGTTATGGTCTTTTATAAGAGAACCCAGAAGATACTATGAATTATGGGACAGATGAATACTAAATAGATCTGACTGTTTTACAATACTAGAAAGAATAACAGTTTAAAACAGTTAGCTCATGCACTTGGTTTTGTAGATTTTCGTGCCATTGATATTTATATTAATTAAAAGTTAATATTAAAATATAATGGAACAAGTATTCTTTGTTCCTTTGCAGACTACGTATGCTGACGCAGCTATTAAAATATTATAACATCTGAAATTAGTAAATTTATATGCACATATTCCCATTGAGTGTGATGCTTTCCTTTGCTTTCTCTTGCTAAGTTCTCCAATCTCGGGCTTGTAGCTTGACACATTAAGCATCACACAAGCTTCTGAGTGTTCAGTTGTTAACCAGCTATGGGAGGGACAAAGAACTGACTTCATGTGTAAAAATACCTGTTCATATTTCTTCAAACAATCAAATTTCACTGGTGGGACCTTCGACAGGTCAGGATAGAGATGCTGCATTTGCTTTCAATAGCCTCATGTGTGTTTTGCCGAACCCAGAACGTTGTGTTCTGAGCACTGTATTTCAATGAGCTGCATTTAGAAATCCTCAGCACCCACCCACTGAAACACTGAAAAATCCATGTCGCTGGTCTGGTTTAATCAGAAAAGATGGGACCAAAACATTGGAAATCCTAAACTCCTAAAATAAATTCTGGCATGTACACGCCAAACTCATTTGTTTTAAAAGTTTTTTACTGTGTTGAAAATTGAGATGCCAATATCCTGAGAGAAAGTGGCAAATTTAGCAAAGAATGCCTTCCACATTTCAAAAAGACCCAACCACCATTTTTTCTAAAATGTTTGACTTTACATTTAGGAGTGAAAAATGATATCAACAGCACAGAATGTAAGAATAGTAGTGAATCGTTTTTTATATGCCAAACAGCTTTCATTGGTTAGTACAGTATGTTGTACAGAAATACAGAACAGTCAAGCATAGTTTTTAGCATTTTTTAAATTAAATTATTTTGTGGTTTGTTAGACTTTTATTGCTGTGCCGTTAAAAATCTTAGTGTATTAGCGTACCAACAATGGCATGCGTGCTGTTGGTTGCTGGTTCTTGGTCTAAAGAAAGTTCTAATTCTTTTTTGAATATAATAAGCACTGTAAATGATGAAAGCTCATTAGTACTGTGAGTTCAGCAGTTAAGAAAAACCTGAATTATTTACAGAGGTTTCATTTCATGATGTTGTGAAATGTTATTGTTTTTATAAAATTTCTTCTAAAGAATAGATACAAAAGAAGTAAAGAACTGTTCTATCTTCACCTTATTGATTGATGTGGCTGATGTGTTCTGGAGCTTGCAGAAGTTTCAGCAAAAACATTTTTAAAAATACAATATAATACCATCTCATACAGCTGGTTTAATTGAGCAATTTGGGCAAAGTATCTGTCTCAAGAGTACAACAGCAATTTCTCAATCTGGGATTTGTACCAGCATCTCTCTGGGTAGGAGTAAAAAATCTTCTGCCCTACCTCCATGATTCATAGCCACTTCTGCTTTTTTCATTGGTCAAAGACTAACTGTAAAGTGCTAATGATTTTCACTTACTATTCATAAAACAGAATTAGAAGTTTGTTTAGACAGTTCTGAACTCTACTGTTGTAAAATGCTCATTAGTGAATTATATAAATCTATACGTATTTATCTAAATAGTTCTATTTTTTCAGCCAATGAATCTAGATTACTTTAAAAATTAGCCATATTGAGGTGTCAAGAGGGTCATTATGTTCATTCCTGAAGAAAAATAAGGGAATTTTGAAATTGTGCTTATGTTTCCAAGCACAGTTCGATCAATTCAGATGAATTTTTAAAATATTTTTTTACTCTGCATTATCATATTTACGAACCTCAATCAAGAGCGGCGCACACATAGCTCTAGCTGTGAGTGGAATTATGTGTATTATTGTCAGATGATTATGCAGAATCTCAAAAATAATTAACAGTGCTGGGACTGTAAATTCTAGAAACAGCTCCTTCCTTATCTTTAGTGAGCATCTGTTTTTTACAGACATAGATATTTATTTTATGCTACATGGGTGGTGCAAGCTGTAGTGATAAAGATAAGGACAGAAGCTGCTTAGAGGGAAATTCAGACACCTGAGTTGCAGCAAAATGGCATTTGTCATTCAGGCAACAGGCAGGCAGGTCAGAGACAGCTCATTTGCTGAGTGTCAGTCACAGAAAACAATATTTCTCTTTGAATCGTTGGGCATAATTCCTTAACACACGGATTTCCAAAAGGCATATTTTCCTAGTTTTCTAAGTTGTCACTAATGATAATAATAATGCAGTATTGCTTACAGTTATGAGCATGGTGAAGGAAAAAAATGTATTTTTTATGTTTTCTCTATTACTGGGCACAAAGTAGAACTTGGCTTTTTTTCTCTCATTTGCAGCAATGAGTCGCTGCTTCTAACAGCACGCCCTCTCCATCTCCCATCACTGAGCACTCTGATGAAACCGGTGCGAAGTAGGGAGAGCCAAACAGAAGAATTGCCATGGCTGGCGGTAAATCTTGATTCTTCTTCTTCTTTTTATTATTGAGTCGTGCATTTGTTAGGTGTTTTTTTCCTTTTTCCCAGAAATGGAAAAATCCCGATGATAATTTTTTTTTTACACGAGTAAGTATTAAACCCTACTAGTGAAAGAATGTCTTCAAACGAGAAGAAAAAAGCGCTGGGGCAAGAGAAAAGGATGGACTGAGCACAGCAGAAGAAACGTCAAAACTAATAGTTTTAATGCAAAGCGAGCAAGAAATTCAGATGTTCATTCATCTTATTTTTTAATTTGCTGTCGGAGCAGTTTGGTGAAGTGATTATCCGGCAATGGCCATAGGATCTATTTGTAGGACATGTCAGCCACTTATGCACTGCGAGAGCAGAGCTGTGCTCTCTCACTTTATCCCAGCAATGCCAAAACAAGGTACAGTATTTCTCCCCATATCAAGCCACAGCAGAGACATAACGGTGTTGTAACCCTACCATTCTGGACAATACTTCAGAGTAATGGGTGCTTGCAGCCTCCCAGACCACTATAAACAAAAGAGAATATAAACCATATTGTTATTATGTATATATAACCTGGAATTCAGTTATTTTAGAGGCAATGGGTCATGGGTATTTGTTTTCCCCCACAAATAAAACAAGACCTTTAATATACTATTTTAGAGAAAAATTGCATTGATTTTTTTTTTATGATTCAGTGTCTTCATTGTCTGAGACACAGCCTGCCAGAAATACCAGTCACTAGTATAGACAATATTCTCAGCTGTGAAAAGATGACATTGTGCTTTCTGATATATAGAGCTTGAAGAAAATGATTCAGTTTATTGGGTGAGAAGAAAAAGAGGCAATGAGATGGTCTCAAAGAGTCTGCCTTCATGGTTTTTGAAGTACTAAATGCACTGACATTCCAATAATGAACAACGACAAAAAGGATAGCAACAGCAATAGTCATTGTTATAATTACCAACTTTCTTATTTAAAACAAATCCACTTAAAAGCAGGGATCAACTAAACATATTGGTAAACATCTTCGGTTTAAGCTGCAAGTTGTATGGTAAGGAATTCTGGCTCTGTGAAGAAAAGTAATTTAGAAAATGAGACACCGATTGCATTTTTTCATGTCGTGACCTACCTGCAACATGATATTGTAGACCTGTTAAGTGTTGTTAAGTGAATAGGGAAAAGTCTTGTGCTTGCAGCTGGAGTTTATGTTGCTGCTCTCTCTTTAATTGGGTCTTATGTGTATACAAAGAGAGGAGAAGCACTTGTTTTACAAAATTGAGGGTTATTTAGGCACAAACCTGAATGTAGCTATTTTCTTTCTCCATCTTTTCTTTAACTCCAACAGCAGCAGCTGTCTTCTGGAAATGTTATCTGTTCAATTTTAATTAATTTGAATTCATATCTCAGTAAGAACTGGCATCTTGTGTGTTGCCAACGATCCTGTCTAATTACTAGTAGCTCCTCTTTTGCATTTGTTTGTCTGTTTCCTGACAGCAGCAGATGGTTTAGGGAGTTTAGGAACAGAACAGACTCCCATTAACGTGCCTGTAGCTGACCCCAGTGCATGGGCAACAGCGATGAACAACCTTGGGATTATGCCACTGGGACTGCCCGGACAGCAGCTCGTCTCAGGTAATCAGGTGCCAGTTACATTTCTTTAACATATTACTTAGGTACGGAAGTAAATTTTGTGAACTACAGTAGATCAAGCAAGCAATGACAGAGTTCAGTTCACACATTGTGGCCTGTTTCTGATGATGTGTGGATATGTAGGAACATAAGAGCCTCTCGTTGTGGATAGGTTTAAAGATGAAATGAGTTTAACTTGCAATAACTTCAACACACAATGCCTGCCGTTTATGAAACTACACAAAATTATTCACACTGCCTTCAGCTCTTCGCCCAGTCATCCTAAGAAATTACCTTGGACATTGGCAATGATTTTTGCCCTTTTGTTTTTATTGAAAATGTTTTACAAAGCAAATGAACGTGCCGAAGCTTTCAATAGCATTGACCCTACATTTTATTTTCCTTTTAATGTTGTAATGTCAGCCTGGCAATTTGTGATTCGATTATTTCCTAAGTGTTGGATAAGAGTTTTTTTAAACAAATATAGATATTTGTTTGTAAAACAAATGTTTTACAAAGCAAATGAATATAACATATTCTGACAGTTGCACATAATAATCTGAAACACTGTACATTGATAAAGAACTAATTAGTGACATCCTTAAGTTCCATTTCTGGCATTTTAATTTTGGTTCCACTACATTAGCCAAGCAAATTGTATTAATCATGAGAAATGTGTTCTGTGTGCACAACAGAATTCCATTGAGGTAATCTCTGATCAGACTGCAGGCTAAGTGCTCCTGGGTTTATGGCAGCATAGTCTTATGGAGTCTAGTTGGGAAATCTTCCTTTTTTTTAGGGGTAGACAAGATATAACAAGTATCTGGTGTGTCATATATTCTTTAAACATACTTTTGTTACTGTTAATATTTCAAAACATAACAAACCAAATGTAGAATAAGGAGCAATGTTGTGCTCCGCACACAGACTCTCCTCCTGCTTCTCCTCTTCAGAAATAGCCACCTCTGAGTCTCCCTCTAAGGACCTGCCAAAGTGAATCCATACAAACGTGCTAGTCAAGGGAAATTGTTTGGGAATTGTTCCCAATGTTATTCCAAAACCTTCTTGGCCTCAATGAGGCCAACCCACCAGATCCGTTTTTGCTGTTGTAAAACTTGAAGATTGGAGTCATCATTTAACAGCAATGGACATGGAAGATGAATTATTGTTTCCTTAACTTATGCATGGCCAGATGCATATTGAACACGTGTAAGGAAGTACCTCAAGTGCCCCTTGGCAACGTATTCAGGGGCTTGGCACAAGACTGGGATGATGACATCTGCAAGGAGCTGGGTGTACTCTGTAAAAAAAAGAAAAATGAATCATTTGATGATCAGTGATGATTAAGATTTTTGGAAAGCTGAATTTATGACGTTGTCCCAGGAACTCATCAATTGTTTTCAACTGCAAATAGTAATAACTGCTGAAAGTTTGGAAAATGCCTCTAGAAGTAAAAAAGATAAAGAGCAGAAGTGAATCTTTTTTGTTTTGTTCCCAAATTCTAAAAAATTATGCACAGAATGTGCAGTCAGGCCTTGTCCTTCTGGGGACACCATAGTAATGCTTCTCAGAGCAGAGACATAAATAAGAACAGGCCAAATAAATCGTATAAAGATTGCATACCATGAAACATACATTTACAATCCTCTATATATTTCTTTGTTCCTCGAAGTTGGAAAAGAGATAGGCAAATTACCAGTAAGATTTTTCGGACTATGGGGAACTGGACAATGGCCGTGCCATTTCTTTGGAGACTTAGGTCTACTAATCATCGTGTTAGTAATTAATTATGGAATTGTATGACCAAAGCATAATCTACAGTGTTTAAGGGGAGTAGTAGTAAAGATTAGATACAATTACACCGCAACTTAATGTACCAATTGAAGGAAAGGGCTGTTCATTAAGGGTAGGTGTCTGTTAAAGCACAAAGTGCCTATATTGTATATACTGTATAGACAGATGTTTATTTAACCACCATTGAACATAGAAACTTTAAGTACCAATGAACATACTATTTCACAATAGTATATCAATTAATAATGAAACCAACATTAAAATTAAAGAAAACAGTGCAGTACATGTAATACAAAACAATAATGAATAATATATAATGTAATAAATCTATTAATTTAACAAAATAAATAATGTACTGTGAAGCAATAATGAACACTGTTTAAATCCACTAGCCTGGAAACTTCAGATGTTTCTAGCACCAAGTGTACAATACTTATAATTGTACCCGCACAGAATTTTAATGAAAATTGTTTGAATTATTTTTCTTGCTTTTTTATATTAATCACACTTTGTTTCATTGCACCATACTCCTTGCTTGAGCATGCATTCGACTGACACAACTGATTCAAGCTTCTTTAGAAGTTTTAGTTTTTTACTTTCACACTCAAATTAACGCTCTTTCTTTCCTTACAACATTATATATACCCCTATATACCTATATACCCCCACCCCCGCACCTACAGTACATAGAAAACTAACTGAGAAGCATCTACTACATCTACAACAACTAAGCATTGCCTAGATGGGTTGAATGGCCTTCTCTCATTTGTAACCCTCTGTTCCTTTTTCCATGGCCTCTTCTCTAGACCAGGGATGCCAAAAGCCGGCCTGTTTGACATTAGTGGTGAGAGCCTTCGGCCACGTTTCAATTCACACCTTGTCTTATCGTCCTCAGCCTGCTCACAAAGCAGGAATTTTTCAACAGAAGTCCAGGAGGAGATCCGTATCTTGCTCCTTTTACCTTTTCTTATGCATCGCTATCTTTCTAAATACATAAAACACTACAGCTGCATAATACTTTTGTAATGGTGGTGGCTAGTATTTTGAAAATATATTAAATGTATGGCCTTCTTAAGGTACCATTAAATAAGATCTGGTATAATATAGGCCATGAGCTGATCTAGATGACATCCAAAAAGTCATCTGAAATGGCACAAATGACAATTCTCCCAGAAGTCAATTAACCTATCTTTATGTCTTGGGACTGTGAAAGGAAACCGGAGCACCTGGAGGGAACCCACACAAACACAGAGATAGCACCCCTGTTCTGGAATTGAACCCAGAGCCCCAGCTAAACATGCTAAACATTGTGCCACTATGATATAATAACCCATTTTTTAACAACTCTCTCTCGCAATTTACAGTGAAACAATAATTAGAGCCACACATTATTTGGATTTTGTCCACTGTTTTTGAAGTCTTTTTGTTCTTGGACTGTTAAATCAAAGTTTTACGGTACTGAAGCCTACAGTATATGCAGAGACAAGACTTTTCTCAGTTTTCTCAGTTCCAAGATAAAGGCGTTAGCATTAAACAGTGATTACAAAACAATTTGGCAGAGTCCTGCGCAGATCTTTCATGCTGTAGAATGTAGTCACTTCTCTTTCTTAATGAATTCAGAAATTCTGTGATGTTGTCTATCCCAATATCCTAATGGGAGAGATCATAGAACTTAAAAATTGAATAAGGAATGGTGCTATTTATTTATCTTCAGTGCCTCATTTCACTTCATGTCACAACTGTCATGTCTCAAAGCTGAGGAGCTGCATGCATTTAGTTGTAATTAATATAGAAAAGGACAATGCTTTCAAGGAAACATCAATGGATTGTGGGCACATTAGGCTAAGATTAAAATACATGAATAGATTTTAAATCATGCATATTTATGATATTCTGCATTATCATATTCTCCCAAAGTTGCTTGGACTCATCAAACCTAAATTGTATATTTGAATTTTGTTAATTGTATAATGTGCTTTTAAATGAAATTATCCATTTAAGTACTTTGTTTAAAGTGGGTCTCAAATGGTTTCCTGTTTGAGAGGAAGTGCTATGAAACATATCCCACTGCACTTTCCTGTTGACCAATGAAGGCTTAGTCATCTTATTGATGGATGGATAATCAGTAAATGATGTGGTAATTGACAACAAATATATATTATACTTTTAGAATTAATCCTGACTTAAACATTATAAACTGAAGAAGAGATTCATGATTTTTAAGTGTATTTTATTACTAGTTTTTATTTCCCAGAAAAAACAACAAAAATCATCATCTAAGCTGTCTAAATCTTTCTTATATGATTAATAAAACATCTTATTAACACAAAGTATGTTTTTTTCAGTTTAGTTTTAGCATTTGTTATCTACTGTAACTTAGACCACCTGATTGGAGCTGGGTGGTGACATGTCCACAGACTTCTAGCTATTAATCCAAGGTCTCTTAAAAGATGTGCCAGGAAAGATTTAGCTATAATTTGAAGATGTTTATGTTATTCTACTATTTTCCTTTCAGTTTTCAAACCTTTCCTCCCTTCCTGTGATATTTCCATGCTTAATATTTCCATATTTGAGTAGTTAAAGATCATTTGGGTGTAGTTAGACTCTTCCCTTGGAAGGCTCAGCAGTCCATTGCAGACGCTGGTTCCCATTTATACAGCTGGGCAGAATAGAACAAAATTAAATTATCTCACTCAAAGTACAGCAGCAGTATAGTTGAAGTAGTTACAGAAATATCTGTTTTAAAAACACTAACTCAGTTACCTTTCCCCATTTTCAGTCCAAAACCTTGTTTCAATTGATCAGAACTTATTTTAAGAAGTAGGATGGTAGTTCCATATTTGAGCCACAATAGTCCAAAGCTTATCCTGTTGTCTAAGGCAGTAAGAGACCAGAGGGCTGGACCCCCCCCACATTAAACCCCAATCCATTGCAGACCCTACCCCCCACCATACACTGGTTCCCACTTACTCATTTAAACAGCTGGGTGACTGGAGCAATCAGCGCAAAGCTCCTCACTCAAGGTTTGCAAAGTTTGCAGCAGAGACCTTAACCCACAACCTTACCTACCACCCTATACAAGCCTCTGTAGCTACACAGTTTTTAATTACATTTCAAAGGCTCATGTTAAGACTTTTTATGTAAAAACTATGAATTCCTCAAGCACTGAGAACACACTTTTTTTACAGATTGTGTAACTTATGAAAGGTACAACATTTCTTCTTTCTCTTGCATATTCATTGTTTTATTCAAGCTTTTATAAAGCTGCAGATTTATTTTTGGAAGGCTTGTGGTGTAACAGAGTTGTCCTCCCCAAAATATAGGAGATGTTTCCATTTGTTAAAATTTGGCTTTGTTAACACTGTATTGTGAGACTGCACACAAAAAAGGGAGAAGGCAGAACTTATGTAGGCCATGAATCACTGGATTTTAAAGACATGAAATTTGAATTAAGCTTTCATTTAGAACAGAAAAACCCAATGTAACTAATAACTGACTGTTAAACATTTTTTTCATATTATATTTTAAGATCTTAAATAGAAATCTTTTAAAAGATCTTTTGTGTTAAAAAAACTTCTCATTTTCATGCTAGTTTTAAACAGTGGTAATAAATCTTGAAACTGTCTTGGCAGGTTTTTAGTCAAGTTTATATTTGATTTCTAATTTCATTCCAGAAGAACACTACCGGAATGGTTTGTTTAGGTAAAAATAGTTACCCATACAGTTATTCATATTTTAAAACCAACAATAATAATGGAAAAGAGTCTATAGGTTGACTGGCTTTGCTGGTGGTTTATTGAAGACGATTTTACTCTTCTACTTTTTCAGGAAAATAATGAAAATCTATATAAATGCAAACTACAAATTTTTCAGAAACAGAAATACGAACATAACAAAGAAAATAACAAAGTTAAACACATGGGGATGAAATTAAAATCCATGTTCTTTCCTTTCTTTGATTCAGGCTCTTCATTATTTTATAAAATATGTAATACTGTTCTATACTTTATTAACAAACCATCTCTAATTTAGTTAACTGATTAATTGTTTTATTAATATTGAGCTTCAAAATACAGGTCATTATATTTATGTGTGTATGTTTTTGGACAATAAAGTACAATGGAGTCTTGACATCTGCAAATGTAATAACCTTCTTCAAGACAGCATCTGCAACCTGGTGTAAAAATGTACTGCAGATGTACAGTTTGTACTACTTCCCATTGTAACTTTCACGGTATACCCCCTGTTGATTGGACCTGTTGATGACAAATATTAATTAGCGTTATGAATTTACCTATAACATGACTATTCAATAACATTTCTTTGCAACCACTACAAATACCTCTTCTATCATTATCAGATAATAAGTTAGTGAATTTTCTTCAGTTATCAGTTATAGATTTCTTTAATGCTCAGTGTATTCCATATCTAGCCATGCAGCACTAAGATTCAAAATATTTGAATCACTTTGTGAGAGAGAGGGAAACCTACATACACTCAATATCAAGCTGTGGTCTTCATCAAACCAAAAAGAGAGGTAGGTGAACATAGTAGGTATAATCCAGCAATGAAAGACAGAAAGCGCAACTTCATCTTTTCCATTCAGACTTACCTTTAAAGGTTATTTTAAACGTTTCTCACTGCAGCCTTGCGATTAGGGAAACTAAGTTATAGATTATTTTTCTTCATTTCACTTCATCACATTTGTCATTTACGCTGTGGTGTACTAACAATCCATCAATAAAATGTGGAAAAATGGATTTCCTGTGCCATTGGGTTTCTCTTCTTAAAGCACTGTGTTCAATGTTCAAAAAATGAAACACTTCTTTATGAATTGCACATTGCAGATGGGCCTTTAGAGAAAATGCAGCTTGGTTGCATGCATCCTACCTAAATGCAAATGAAAACTAATTATGGACAGCTGCTTTCCACAAGAAAACATCAGCTGTTAAAATATTCTGCCTTCACCACAAGTCCCACTTCTGCATCAGAAAAATAAATACAACACATTTTTAAGATCTGGCAAAAAATAGCAGAGTGTGAAGCCAAGGGAAGGAAATTCTGTGGGTTTGCGTCTTTCCTGATGGAAAAAAATATTTAAGAATGATATAAAGAGCCCTGAAATGTGTTTTATCTCTTCTTAATCTTAACCTTAAATTTCAGTGATTGTTGTAGTGGCTCCGAGTCTCTGCATTCTGTTGACATGCAGTATTAATTTAAAGTCATATCTAGGCTTTTGTTAATCAATCTGTTATAAAGAAAAATGTGTTTTTAATGTTAGTTTTGATTTTCTCCATTAAATGCCTTGCAGTGTTAAGAATGACAAAAATATTAGAAACACCAGTGAGAAAAACTTATTTGACTGAGCACACTAGTTAAAATTATATGAACATTTTATTTTAGGGTGTAATTATACATTTTAAAATCAGTGGTGTCTTAAGGTTTATAGGTTGTCTGATGCTTTGGTTGATGGATTGATGAACTTTTCAGTGAACACATTTCAATGCTTCAGACAACAATACTTAAGGCTGGGTTGAGGCAGATACTGAATTAGTTTGCTTTATTGAGGGGTAACTAGCTGAGAGAAAGACCACCTGTCTGGGAGGAGGAAGATGGGATGGAGGGAGGGGGGCTACAAAGAAATGTGAGGCTGAGTGAGCTTGAAACATGTGATTTACATGTGAGTAGGTAGGAAGAGGGTGAGACTGGGGTTTGACCTCCTCCTGAGTTCAGTTTTAAAACTTTATTGTGGTGTTTGCCCCTGATTGACTTGTCTGGTAATTATATGCATATATATATTAGTTGCATTCTTTTGTTTGTTTTAGGATTATCCATTCTAAGTGAATTTACATTTGAATTTACATTCTTTCAAAAGTCTTAAAGGGGTTTTTGTGTCACGTGGAGAACTCCCATTACTTTCCATATTATGGTGTGTTTTCCATGTTCCTTCCACTGTAAACATAATTCATTTCAAACAAGTATTACTCATACCATGACATATTACTGTGGTGTATAGATCAAGGTTAAGGTAATACATCCTTAAACATTTCCATCTGCATTTTAACTGAGGTAGTGCTGTTCTGAGTAGTTTTTGGGTTACCATCATATTTTGTTGAAGTCTGAGTTAGGCTTAAGAAGATAAGTTCAAATTCCACCTTAGGTGATCTTACGCAAGTCAATGTAGCCATAACTCTGACTGAAGTATAACAAAGTAAAGTGTCATTCTAAATTTAAATAAATAAAAAACAATCAAATCTTAACCCCATCACTGATCTGAGTTGTATCTGAATACCTCCTTCAATTTAGCAGCCACATAAACATGATACTAAAAACTCTCCTGGTTTTAACTGTTTATTACATGTCGAATAAGGATTATGCTTGATAAAGCAGAAGTGATAAATGTTGGTGATCTTTATCACTGCAAGTTAGATTTGATAGCAATTAAACTGAGCTGATCTTATCATTATGTCAGAGGGATATAGCTGGGTTGTGCTCAAAGATGCCATTAAGTTTGGCTCCAAGTGACAATGCTTGGTTAAGTTAAAATTAGAATTGTTGTTTCAGGTGAGGTTTAAAAATATATTTAATTATTAATGTTATTTGCGCAATGTACTGAATAGGATTGAAAATGTGGTATCTGTTGCCTATGCAGAAATACAGTGACACTGTTTTATTTCAGATTCCATCTGCATCCCAGGGTTTGACCCTAGTCTCGGAATAATGACCGGAATCACCCCTATTAACCCTTTGATGGCCGGGATCAGCTTGGTTCCTCCACCTCCTGTGCCTGCAGAGCTTCCTCTTATCAAAGAAATTATCCACTGCAAGAGCTGCACTCTCTTTCCACAGAACCCAAGTAAGAAAATGAGTAACCAGCACATGTAACAGTTTTTACAGCAGAGCTCACATACCTCATTTAACCTCCAAGAACTGTCTCATGCTATTGTCCTTAAAAAAAAAAGCGAATTACTTTTTCCAGTGCACACAGAAGCTGTTCAAATGCTCACAATTTATGCTCTGAGCACCCTGCAAGTACAGTTTTAAAAAGATGCTCTAGTAAAGGCTTGTTGTCAGAAGCGCTTGATTTTGTTCTTGCCTCACACTGAGCTTCCCGCTGAACATTACCTGCCTGTCCTTCAGTTTTGTACATCCTGCTCTCACAATGCAGATATACGCCTGGCATGATGTCAGCCACCAGCTGATCGAATGAAAGCTCTTATACTGTATCTGCTGCACCCTTATATCATTGATGTCGCTTCTGTTTGCACGAGCAGATTAATAAAACCATCTGTATGAATGTGAATTATTTTACTTCAAGTGCAACAGGAAAAAATGTGGTTCTGCTCTTCAGTTGAAACTGTATTTGCATGTGCCATGTGAAAAAAAAATAAAGGGTAATTCTCAAAATAGATTCTCAAAATAGATCCAACCACAAGGATCCATGTTGAAGACATCTTCTCGGGAATAAGATATAAAGCAATTTCATTCCTTCAGTACAAAGGTAGGCAGCCTCAAAGCTGTTGACAGTTAAGTGAGATAGACTATATTCTTTGTGAGAGGGCTTGCACAGAATGCCAATGAGCAGATAAAAGGAAATGTATACTTTGGTAGATTCCATGATTGCTGGAAGGCATCCAGGTTTGTGGTCTAAGGATTTTTGGGATGTTCCTTTTTGAGAGCTTTGTCATTTGCTTCAGATCAAAGTTTAAATTTAATCCCAGGTTTCTTGACTACAAGGCACTGATAAAAAAACTGAATATCTGATAAAAATTTAAAATTGAGCAGCAGGAACGACAGGTGAGAACAGAATACACACTGTTCTTGTATTTTCTCCTGTATGATCATTTCATAATATAATACAAAAAGAGATTCTGCTGACAAATTGTAAAATGCAGCTGGAAAACACAACAACAGAATGGTCTGCCTGCTGCTTTGTGTGCATCAAGTTACCATCATTAAACTCTATGATTTCTATAAAAGAATATGTATATACAAGCAGAATGAGACAGGAGTGAAATTTTGACTTGAAAGAAAGAGAAAAATTAGGAACGGAGAAAATATAAGAAATTTGTACTGGTATTTCTAGTCATCATTTTTAAAAATCGGTTTGTAACTGAGAATAACAGACTGAGGAATAATTTGAATGTGGATTATAGATCATGACCCTGATTCATGTGTGAAATTGGAGAAGAAAAGCTGTATGCTAACACACATTATTTCATAAACAATAGATACAGGTCTTATAGTTGTGATGTTTCTTAAGATATAATGTATAGAAGAACATTTTTCAAAGAAAATATAAGCATGATGAAATAAAAAACTCAGAAATCATACACGAGTATCATTCAAGACAAGTATATTACTCTATTGGATGCGAATTAAAGTAAAATGACTTTGGATATTGATTCAATGCTTTTGCCCTCATTTTGGTTAATTGGTCATTTATGACAGATTCAAGTGTTTTTGAATGTTGCATAAGCAATAAATCACTTTTTTTAGTGAGGGAGTTCAATGGGCTCCCAGGTGATGAGGTTTTTGAACCCTTTGAATGTCGAATCTTGTGACAATCAAGAAAATCACAGAAAGGAGCCAATGTGCCGCGTTTATTAAGAGATCAAAACCTTTGTGTCATGAGTTTGTTGGAGGCCACATTATATCACCACCAGTAGACTCATTAGTGGAGGAGCTAAGTCCTCTTAAGTCTTAAGTAGTAAATTAGGGTTTTCTGTAGACAACCATGATGGGTGTCAGAGAGGAGCAGAAGTTCAGAAAAATATGCTGTTTAGGAATATAGGAGGCCAATTGATGGAGAGGCCCAAGTGTAAAGGTCTAGGCAGGACCATTTACTGTATTCGCTACAAAATTCCCTTATTTATCTCCAGAATTTAACCATGTCATGTCCACTGAATAAAAAGTCTGTGCACCCAATCAAGAAAAGATGTTGCCATTTTCCTGATAGTAACTTTGTGAATCTGTTGAAGCCGTATGGGGTAAGTGAGCCTCGGTACATAAATTAAATATATCCTCTTTTATTCAAATTACATCTAAATCCCTGTGGAGAAAATGCAGAGAAAGCAGAATGTCCAGAGTTGAGAACATCCCTCCAGACATTAATAAAAAAAACAGCAAAGGCAACAGATTAATGAAGTTATTATTCTGATTTTCAGATCTCCCACCACCATCAACAAGGGAAAGGCCCCCAGGGTGTAAGACTGTCTTTGTCGGAGGACTCCCTGAGAATGCCAATGAGGAGATAATACGAGAAGTGTTCGACCAGTGTGGGGAAATTACTGCCATCAGGAAGAGCAAGAAGAATTTCTGCCACATTCGCTTTACTGAGGAGTTCATGGTGGATAAAGCTATCTACCTTTCGGGTATTAACTTCAGACTTTGAATTTTATTGTAAGGACTGAACTGCATCAGCTTGAAAAACACAATATATAAGGTCATATTTCTAAACTGTCCAAGGCCTTCTTTATTGTCACCAAGGAGACAAACCTCCCCAGAGAGCAAGACTTATCAAGGCTTTTATTTATAGTGCAATTTCATCCTGCTGTCTGAAAATAGTAAGAAGTCATTCTGAATGAGTGAATGAAACATGATCTAGATTTAGTTTTAAGTCCTACAGACCTGATTATAAATATTCTCAATTCCTATTTTATGAAGACTAAAAGTAGAATCAAGTGTAGAAGAGTTTGGGCAGTTTCCATGAATTTAGTTGATTTCAGGTTTTCTTTCTGAATCATTTTAACTTTGATTCTATACATTTTTTTTCAGTAAAAACACAATTTTATTAACATTTTTATATAAAATATCAATCTAAATGAACCCCCTTTTCTTGGAAGTCTGCTGAGCCCTAGTGTGACCTCTAGGTGTGAGTCGTTTTTTTTGGAGGGAGAGAAGCTAGAGTGAGGAAACATGTCAGTGCACAAGCTGGAAGGGAACATGTAGAGGTTTACTTCCTGCTGAAATGTGAAAAGAAAGAACAGAAACAGACAGAGGAGGCCCCAGCACCAAAATCCCTGTGTGTTTTATTTGTCGCCAAGTGGGACTTAAAAATCAGTCTTCGCAAATGACCTTTTCTGTAGGGTACCGCATGCGTATTGGCTCCAGCACGGACAAAAAGGATTCGGGGCGCCTGCACGTTGACTTTGCACAGGCGAGGGACGATTTGTACGAGTGGGAGTGCAAGCAGCGGCTCCTGGCGAGGGAGGAGAGGCACCGGCGAAAGATGGAGGAGGAGAGGCTGCGACCTCCCTCCCCTCCTCCCATCATGCACTACTCGGAGCACGAGGCCAGCGTACTGGCGGACAGGCTCAAAGGTAAGAGCTGTCCTTTCTTAAAAGAGCCCACTTGTGTGCTTCTGGGCAATTTCAGATTCAGCTGAATATACTGTAGCTTCCTTGTCAAAATAGAAGATGAAAATTTGTATGAATTGCAGAATAGATACAGTTGTTTACAATAATAGATGTTCTAAGCCATCTGCACAGTTAAGTAAACAAAGAGTAATGGCATACTCTTTAGCTATCTGATACTGTCCAATATGAGTTTATGTGAGAGCCAAGGCTCATTATACAAGGTTCAATTGCTGGGATGTACTTTATTCCTATGAAATGTAGGAAATATTTATGTAAAGCGTTTTACAAAGCTAATTACAAACTTTGATTCTGGTTATGGGTAACATGTCAAAACATTATTTCATGAATGAGATTAAATGGTTTTAAATCTTAATCTTCGTATACATTAAATGGCCAGCATAGCTAGATGAGTAAATCCCCACTGCAGACAGTTCTGTTGTACCTTGTGGGAGGTTTTTTACCCCATTTGCTCCAGTCCACCCAGCTGTATACAGTGGATATAAAAAGTCTAGACACCCTTATTGAAATTGCAGGTTTTCGTGATGTAAAGCCAGAAATCAAGATAAATCATGTCAGACATTTTTCCATCTTTAATGTGACCTTGCGACCAACAAAATTCAAAAGAAAAACGCATAGATAATTATTAAGGAAAATAATTTAAATTAAAAAACCTACCACACCCTGGTTGCATCCACTATATCCACTGTAAGTGGGAACCAGTACTGCGGGGGGCGTCCCTGTGATGGACTGGTGTCCTATCTAGGGGGTAGTCACGTGTTGTCTAGTCCTAATACATTGCAAACCTGGATGAGCTCTGGCCTGACGAGTTGGTGAGCGATCTTGTACAGTATGGAGTTTTAACTTTTATGCCTTTATGTTGAATAGCCGTTTTTTTTAAATACAATTTACATATACTGCTATAAAGGAACAAGTAAAGGTTGTTTCCATGCTGAAAAGAGAAGAAAAGAAACACAATGTTTTGACTGTGGAGGCTTCTTCTGTTGTGTTACCCCCGAAGAAGGTTCCACAACCGAAATGTTGTGTTCCTTTCCTTCTCTTTTCAGCATGGAATGAACCTTTCCTTGTTCCCTTGCAGCTTATGCATGCTGACGCAGCTACCTACTTGAACTACTGCTGTAGTATAATATTTCACATCAGATGATGAAATGATGAAAATAATGAATCAGTAGGCACTTAGCATATTAACAGCGGTTTTCTTGGCACATCTACAGTACGTAAGCACCATCTTCACCTGTTCCTGTGAGTGGAGCTGCGCTGGTTCAATCCAGCTGTTCTCCCCAGGCTCCTCAGCTAAACCATGTGTCATTGTAGCATCACAGATTACAGTACACACAATTCCTGCTGAATCTGAGACTTCAATGCTCAGGCACCTGTGAATCCATGCTCTCCATATGTTGTTTGTTTTGTAGAACCGATGTATTTAATAATCCAAGCAGTCTTCCTTCTGATCTACAGGGATGGAAGCAACTCCAGTGGTATTTGCCACTGAAGTCTCGTTTTTGAGTTTAAAACTTAAGCTCTTTGTCTTTGTCTTTTTAAGTTCTTTGACTTGTCTCCTTCATTAAATCTTCATATTGTATTACAGCTCTCTAAGATGTGTTAGGAAAGGCTATGCTATTATCTGTCTTTTTTCTGAATGCTGTGTCAATACAGTTTGGAAAAGGCAAGTGCTTCATAGCCCTTTTTGCATAGATCTTCGGCTCGCTCAGTGTGCTGGGTGAGTCAGCTATCAGCTGTATTCCCGGATTTCAGCAACACTTGTTATCTCAGATCCGTACATACTGTAAGAGGCATTACTGCACTTTTTCCATAACCACACTGAGAGAAAATATATTCATTGGTGACTTTGATAGTTTGATTAACTGATACATATTTAATAAAACCTTGCATTCTTGACAACTGCAAATGAAAATGGCATTTTACCATAAAGCACATTATCATCCTCCTTCTACAGTCATTTCACCTCCCGATCTTTTTGTAATCAGGAATACAAACTGATTGTATTACTTATTACTAAGCAATTATTTTTTTTGTTTTACTCACCTGATTTGGGGTTGCCAATTACTGGCAGGTTCTCTGGTACAGCTTATCAGCCTAAATAACAAACAAGGCCTAAAACAGAGCTTGTTGGATGAGCCATTGATCATATTTATAAATAATTATTCATGAGTAATTTATAATTACGGTCATTATTAATTAGTAATTCAAAATCACAGAAATTCAGTAATCAACAATTAGTGATTTAAAGTATTTATGGATCAATTTATTAATTTAGTCATTACTTATTTAGTCATTACAATTTACTGTTCAAGTACAATGTCATCAAAGTAGCTCCACGTATTTCTCCAAGGTGATCCTTCCTCATAAATCAAGATATTAAACAATAAATAAAGATGTTATTACTCCAGATTACTTGCAATTAAGTATGTAATATATTTTTATCAAAATATATTCTGCTCTTAAAAATATTATTTGCCAAAGGCAATTTGTTCTACTCTTTTTAGGTCACATAAAATAATTAGTATTTGTAGCATCTCAATACAAAAATAGGAAGTTTAAAAATATCTGGGATTTTTTCTGCATTTCTGCAATTGTTGGAAGCAAAATCTTAATATTAAAATGGTTTCCGACGTAAGCATTTATACTTCTGATATCTGAATTTCTGAAAGCTATATTATTAAATATTATTTACATTTTTATTTCTTAAGACTTGAAATTAGATCAATACTCAAACAGGCTTTGCAGAAAGGGGCCTGGGGTGAATTCCTTTTAAATCTCGTCATCTCAGGGGAGACCAAGTGCGTTTATAAAATGTGAGTTTAACTCTGCAGCCTGTTCGTCATCTGCAATCTAACTACCACAGCCAAATGATTTTCATTTTGTTTTTGCAGTACTGTACATCTGTACATGACTGGAGAGTTTTCCCCTGTGCTAATTGAGCCCAAAGGGCACCACAGAGAAGCTTGGAGATATAACAGAATCAGCCGACATTGAGATTAATTAAAAATTGACATTAGACAGACAGTCCTTTGTGTGTTTTCAAAACCGTTGTGTTACAAAACCTGCAATTGCAAATGACGAGGAACAGAAATGAAAACGTGAACAGATATACAAACACTGGTTTTCTGTAAAAACCAACTAGTTAAAAGCAAACCTAATTTGCACTGCAATCTGATGTAAGTCTAAAATGCAGGACAGTCACAGGAGAGGAAAATGTGTCAATAGGACGCTTGATGTTCCTATTTCTATGAAACTAATGTTTTCTCTTCTTCGTTGTTTGTAATGGGATAAAAATACTGTGTGTGTGCAAAAGGTTTTACTGTGGCTGAAAATATCCTAGACTCTCGTCCTCCACTTTCCCTGGATCGCATTTACAGTACCATCTTGCTTTTTAATCACATTTATTCAAATGATTTATTGGTTAATGCCTTTTATTTCCATTTTACAAGCAGCAAGTAAATAAAATCAATCATGCTCATGACTGAATTTGGAAATTCTTAGAAAATGAATGATTGTACTAACTGTAAATGACTGTAAACCCTCTGTATTTAAACTAATTTTGTAGCTTGTAAAATCACGCAGCAGATGGTGTTGGAATTGGGTTCACTAGAAAGGATGGTGATACTTGCTCTGATTTTGAATGAGGATGTTGAGGCTTCATTGCACAATTGAGGCACATTCCATGTTTTAAATTCCCTCTCCACTATGGCACATTCAGTCGCATTTTGCTTGATTATTATTTCTGCTATTATCCAATTATTTCTGCTGTTGCTAAATGTCATTCCTATGCAAGTGTCATTAAAATGAATTTCTTCATCAGTCATAAGATCTGAGTATTGCAGTAAGAAGACGTTTGTTTTCAGTGACCCAATGGCTTCTTACTGTACATGTATCTACCCTTATTTTAGAGTTTTTCTATTATTAGATGCATTATGTCCTTCATATTCTGTGTTCGCTATTAACTATGATGCTTGTATCAGCACTGCATGATATTGCTTAATGTTATTTTATTCAGGGCTTTGAGTACAGAGCTGTGTCAGAATGTGAGATAGAAAGGAAAAAGTAGAGTTGACAAGTGGTAATGGGAGAATAAAACGTTAATTTCATACTGAAAAGGAAAGACAGAGAGTAGCACTTACAAAAATAGCCTATACATTTTACGGTCCATAAAAATGTCTTTATACCTCTTTAGGTTATTTTTGTAAAGGTAAAAAGGTTTTCGTTTTTGCTTGTCATTAACTGATGTGAACATTATCCAGTACATGGCTAATTCTGGTATTAATCCTGGTAATATCTATATAGGTTCTTTTGTCATTACAGCACTTCATGATGAGTACATTTCTTTAATTTAAAAGCTACTCTTTCAAAGAACTCCTGAAAATAGCTGGAATGACTTAGGTTGGATTTATTTTGTAACTGAAAGCCATAGAAATAAATATCAAATCTGCTCCCAATGTACATTTTATGTTGCATAAAACAGTAATGTTGTAGGAAAAACACTGTAAATAAAATGTTTTTTAAAAGCCTTACAGTGGTATTTCCAAAAGATATGGCCAAAAACAAACTAATAAACAAGTAGCTTTATGGTTTGTCTAAATTCAATGCATTCGTTTCTAAAGCACTGCCAATAATGTCTGAACAGCAGATTTCAATTATTAAAATTTGATTAATCACATTGGATGGAGAAAAAAAGGAAGTAATTAGTGCACAGATTGTGTGGGGATTCTGAAATACACGGATAATTTAGACTGAATGGGAAGGCGATTGTTTTGTCTCTGCTTTGTTTCAAGCCTTGAAGTTGCAATTAACATTCAGTCACTATTCGAGAGGAGGCTTTGATCAGAGCAAGGGGAGCCAGTAAACCAGTGAAAAAGTGTGACGTTACTATTGGCTGGGATAGAGGGAGCTGAGGAATCATGGGACCAGCTGCAAATAATCAATCCACTTAAACGTAAACAATAGATTCTGTTTCACATTTTTATAGAAAAAAATGTTGAGGGTTGATTAGTCAATAAAAGATGGTATGTATTTAATTGAACCTAATAGTTTGTTTAGCTCTGATTCATTCAAGGATGAAAACAGGCCCTGAATGAAGTATAAATATGTATACTATATAAGTATAAAACTTTCTGTTAGCGGAATGCTGTTTTAACCATTTGTGGCCTGTTGGGACTTGAAAGTAGAACAAGTCTATGAACTTTGAATTTGGGCTTTTGACTTGGCAGGACGGGTAATTAATTTGAAAAGACACAAGACCGTGTCACTTGTGTGCCACTAAAAAAACTGAATCTCACCAATGGTTGAACAAAAGAACTGCTTTTTACAGTTACCACACATAAATAACGTGTTTTTTGACTTTGAACTCTTGAATAGTTGTTTGTAGCTCAGTGATGGTTCTGAATGGTTGAAATAAAGAACTGATATTTTTATGTATAGTGTATATAATAAACCTACATGCACACATTGTATAAAACAATCATTTGAAAACCTAAAGGCATTTGAAAAATATTAAAAAAGGTACAGAGGGACCTGTTGGGACTCACGCTACCTGAAAATGTACAGAAAAGTAAACGCTTTGGAGAAGTTTCCTTCAAAGGGATACATTCCTACAATATACAGTACAATATAAGCACTTCTTACTTTTTTACACAAAATCAACAATTCAGATCATGGACTGGAAGACTTGAATATCTGTACCGACCCACATTTAAAACTGTTTGCTCTGACCTTTTAATCAAATTAAATGCTTTGAGTCAATTTAATCTTAAAACATTGCATACTGCTTTAATTATTATGTCAATGAAATGATACCATCCTGGTAATTATGTTGTTGTGCACTAAAAAACAAGCAGCAAAAAACAAAACAGGCATGTTAGTTTTCTTTAACACAGTATCTTCTACAAAGCAGCAGTGTTTTAGCCTTTGTTATCACACTATTTTACACCATTAGAACCATTTAGGTTGTAAAAAATAATAGTATCAGTTCAGCATGCCTGCTGAAGATTAGGTCATTGGAAAAAGTGTCACTTCAAACATAAGGTAGCCCACTGATTACCAATACCATGGCCTGGGCATGCATGGCCAGCCCTGGACCTGGCTCTCCAGTCTTTATTGATGATGTACCTGATGATGGCAGCAGATTGAATTCAGAAGTGTATTGAAACACTTGTCCGCCCATGTCCAGTAAAAGGCTCCCAAACTCTGTTGGGCGGCAATTTGCCCTGGAGCGAATTATCTTAAGCGCACCAACTCCTCTGTGAAGCATGGTGGAAGTAGTGTTTTGCTTGGGCATGCATGGCTGCCTCTGGAAATGGTTCACTGGTCTTTATTGATGATGTAACTGATGAAGGCAGAAGAATGGATGCTAAGGTCGGAGAAACATCTTGTTGCTTCCATTCTTATAGGTCAGAGCTTTGCCATGCCACATGTTAATGACCTACAACCAAGGAGTGCATCAGGAGAAAATTGTGCAAAACCTTGGACCACATCAATTCTACCGAGCATGTATTTTATATGCTGAAAAAAAAGTCAAGTTAGAAGCCCCCAGTATTAGACAGGAATTCAAAGGCGTGGCAATGTATCACAAATCGTTACTCAGAAAGTTTTGGGAGTTAAGTGTGTTGCTGACTTCATTCAGTTACTGCTTCAATGGGATATACAACTTTTACAATCTGTCCCAATACATATATTAACTTGAAATTAGTGTGTCAGAAACATGTACGTTTCTGTTCCAATATAATCAATTGTATGCAGGAAAGTACGCAAACATAAAACTGATACAGTATATCATTCATCTTAAGCTGATGACTACAAATAACAATTGCTTGGCTGTAAAGCAAAAGTAACAGTTTTAAAACTTGCAAAAGTATAGCTAATAGAATGGTAAGGAGACTTAGAATGTAATATTGATTGAGGTGAAGGCTGGGGAGGAGATATACTGTATGTTTTATCGATTTAAGAGTTTGATCATGAGCCTCAGCGAGCAGAATGCTACTTCATGTATCCTGCTAAGCACCTTTTTCTCTGAAGGTCATCAGATTTTCAGGAAATCATTCTTGAAAGGTATGTTTTTGTCCCGTTGTTTTTTTAACCTTTGTCCTTGGGCAGGTCAATGCAGTCTAATTGGTGTAACTAAGTTAAAGTATACTCTTGGGCTGGCATCCATCTTGGTCTCTTTGATGGTCTTTTCTCTGGCTGGGTCAAACAAGCAAAGTCAAGGACAGATTGCGCATGAAACAGCAAAATGACCCTAGTTGATTGGTCTGAAAAGACCCCTCCCCCTTGTGTGGATAAGGGATAAAATATTTAATTTAACTTATTATTGATGTTGTAATTTTTACATTTTTATCTTTTTGTCTTTTTATTTATGACTGATGCAAAACCCACTATTTAACATCTTTTGGTTTTAATTTAAATTTCTTGAGCTTGGGTTTAGCCTCTTGACACTGCCCTTTCTCTCTATATGCAGTATCTGTAACCTCTGCCAAATCATGTTTATTATGTATTGTATTCCCAAAAATAAAGTGCATCTTTTGCAGTAGATGCACTTTTGTGTGCAAATATTAAAAATCACTTTTAAATCCTGCCACTGGAAGATATACAGTAGGCAGTGTCAAGGAATAAATTCTAACAATAGAGAAACAAAGAATATTGGTATGTGGGCACAAATAAAAAGGTCTGCCTTTGGTCTTTAGATGGCGTGACAGTGAGAGTGCTCGTTTCATTACACCACAGCCCGTGACGGTTCTCATCTTGGCTCTTTCAGATGACAGTAAATTCACAGAGGCCATCACCGTGCTGCTCACTTGGATCGATCGAGGAGAGGTGAATCGCCGGTCGGCCAATCACTTCTACTCCATGATTCAGTCAGCTAACAGCCATGTGCGGAGGCTGATGAGTGAAAAGGCGGTGCACGAGGAAGAATTGGAACTGGCCAAGGAACAGTTCAGAAATGCCCTCTTGTGCATCCTGACTCAATGTAAGTAATTACATTGTCATGCAATTTTGCCTGTGGAATAGGGCGTCAGTACTGGGCCAATTCTCATGTCAGACAGCGATGTATATGTCCCAGTGCCACAGGGCCAATGTCTTTCATAAAGTTGTGTGAAAACATACCATTCCACATATCTGGGAAATAAAGACCGCAACAGCCCAACAATTTAAAATGTGTACTGTAACTGCACCCATACTAATTCTTTCAAGGCTGCAGTGCATTTAGCCATTCTCCATTACACCTGATCATTATCATCTACTGTATACTGTATGGAGTGATTCTTTATGGTATTTTGCTGTAAGTCTGTGTATTTAACACAAGCCATTCTCCAAATCCTCCTGCTCCCCCTGCTGTCTGGCTGACACCAGAAAAGGAAAATTGGAATCCAACTTTTAACAAGAAAAAAAGAAAAAATTTACTCACCCATTTAGCCTCACATCTGTTCAGTTAATATGCACGCCACCCAGATTTTGTTCTTAAACCGTGCCCAGATTTCAGTAATTTTACTGGAAATTTAAATAATGAGGGCTATCCCATTTACAATGACTACAGGGTTCATACTCAAGATCACTCTTCCCTTAGGATATTAGTATACTGAAAACATACAGTACAGTAATAGACAGTAGTCAGAACCGAGAGAGAGACACCGTCAGGGTAAGTAACAATGAGAGCTCTTTTGGCCCAGTTAACATCGACCCTCACAGGTAGGCAAAGACTTTATTAATTTTCATTCTGTAGCATGTTTTTTTATCTGCTTACTTTTCTTCAAAGCACAAATCAAAGCATTTGCAGAGTTACAGTAACTTCTGTGAAAATGTTCTGTTTCATGAGAGATGATAGGTTGTATTTTTGACTATCAGGGCTACTTTTTGACAAGAATCTGAAACTTGTATGCACACAATGTCTTGCCAAAGTATTCATCCCCTTCCAATGATATCCCATTTTGTCTCACCCACTACTCAATAACAGACTTCATATACCCTTCTCCTCAGCTGCCTTTCTACAAGTTTATCCCTGGGTTGTTTTGAAAGCTCCTTGCTCTTGCTCTTTGTAATTGAATCAGTTCTTGAAGTTCTCTACCAGTCCAAAGGACTCTGCGTAAGGTATATTTATGCTGAAAGAATGTTAATCACTACAATAAGTTAATTGTGTGACTTGTCAAAGTAATTTTGTGCTCCTGAACTACTTTAGGGTTGCTGTAGCAAAAGGGGTGAATAATAAGCATACAGTATTTTAGATTTAGTTTTTTCTTTATATTTTTTTTATCAACATTTGACTTTATTCCCCCTTAAAAGTGTTTGTTTTGAGAATTTTTGTGTTTTAAAAAAAGTGTGTATGGTTTATGTGTGATTCAACAAAATGGGACAATGGAAGAAGGTGAATGCTTTTGCAAAACACTGTATGTTTTAAATTTAACTTAAATTGCCTCTTTTCTATCCAAGGAAGAAGTTCATTGCCTACCATAATATCTACAGTTACATAGTATAGCAATTCATAGATTCTGTCACTCAGTTGTTTGGCTCTTCTTTATCTAGCTGCCAACCACATAGCATATCTGACCATTTATTAGATAAGATTTTCAACAAAGTTCGATATGTTTAAGTCCAGCAGCCAGTCCAGACAGAGATTTGTCTCCAAGGAAACATTTTAACCCACAATTGGTGGGTATTCCTAAAGGCTAGCTTACTATACAAAATTTTACTTTCTGTTGAATCGCATTAAACAAACTTTTGACTATCGCCTTTCTCCACAGAAAGAGTGCATGCATGTGAAATACGTTTATTAAATCAGCTGCCACTCATTGTACACTGTTGCATTTTTCAGTCCTGAAGGAACTATATCTGCGGTAAATAAATGTAAGTACTGTACAACAGAGACACGCTCAAAGGAGGCTTAATGATGGTGTGCTCTTTATAAGGAGAACTTTCATTGAGCTTTTGCTGTCTCTGTTTTACTTGCTGGTAGTACTAAGCACAACATAAATGGCTTGTCTTGTTTGACTTCCTTATTCACCAAAGTTGAGCAGATTGTGGCCGTTTTCACCGCTGCTACCAGGCAAAAGGCATGGGACCATTTCTCAAAAGCTCAGCGCAAGAACATAGAAATTTGGCGAAAGCAGTGCGAGGTTGGTACTTTTATTCACTTCTTGTAATGATGATGCCAGTCAGAAGCAGACTCTGCCGATGATAATACCACAAAGTATCTCTGAAAATGATTAATGTAGCCGATAGCTCTGTTGCCAGACCTGCTCTCACAGACGAGGATTTAAGTGGTACTAATTTTCTCATTTTTATGAAACGTATTCAAACCCTTTCCTGCACAAGCTCCTCTCAAAACAAGAGGTTCCCTATATAGATCTGTTATTGTGACAAACACCAGGGTTGCTACCATGGCGACAGCAGATTCCAGGGTTAAGATGATGGCTCTCATTGATGAGTTTAAATTAATAATTCATCCATTAACAATCTGTATTGGAAGGAATAATTGGAAAACATATCTAATATTGCAATTCATCATTAGAAATTGAAAACTGCCGTGCAGGCAGTGGTGAAGGACACAGATTCTTTAGCTCCAAAATACAATACAGTACAATGCTCTCTACATTCCTACATCTCTACCATCAGATGCATGCAGGAAAATATTTGTAGATTTAGTAAAATTACAAAATACTTAAAATGCACATACTGTACTTCATTACTGAATATTTGCCTATATGCAAATATGCCTACACACACATATATAATTTTTGACCAAAACAACATCATATGAATGTTAATTTTAACATTGCCACATGGTGTTATAAATTTGTAGTACATTGGCTTAGCCCACAAGAGTTGGACATCGACATCCTCAAGTTATGGCTGTTGAACAAAAACCTTTCTATAAAGATCTGAATGACAGCTGTTTGCAGGTGTTTTGAATCGGTTATGTGTAAGCTGTGATGGCTGAGACAGGGCTACCAAGGGATGCAGTGTAATTCCGTTAGCCATTAAGGGCTGCCTGAAAGAGGAACAACTCCCCTTTAACACTATAATGATGAATAGGCATCCAGTGGAAGCCTTCTCAGTGCAAATGAGTCAGGGCAGTCTCACTTCAGGGATCATTATTTCTGCTTTTTGTACTTTCCTCAGCGCACAAGGCAAAACCTAGCTCTTTTAACTCAGGCTTACAAAAGAACAAAACAGTTCTCAACATTCTGGAAACTGACAGAACTCAAGAGTTACATCTGTCACACACCTTTGTTTGTGAAAGTCAAGTCTATAAAGGGAAGCACACCATTTCAATATCCAAATACAAATGGAGGTAAGGCACTGTTGTAGATCAATGGCTTTTTATTGCAAGGTAAAAATGCTGCTGAACATTGCTGTGATACCCTGTGTTATACAATACTGCAAAACAAGAAATGTTTGCTGCAAGCCATTTCCCAGGCTGTATTGGACTGATTGAGTGATTTCCTCCTGAATGACCTGAGATCCTATTCTTAATGGGTTTATGTATTCATGCACTGTAATTAATTGCAAAACATTGGTTAAAACATATTTGTACACTTTGTCTTTTGGAAAATTAAAATTAATCCTAGAAATGGTGGTTAACATGAGATATGTGCACAGCATTCTCTGATTTGGAATTAAAATATGAGCAAGACCAGACATAAAAAGAAGAGTAATGAAGCTTACATTATGTACAAGCGCTCCTATAATACCATGTGGTTTCTGATGAATACCATGCTTTATTTTAAAAGCAAAAATATTTTACCAAGGCTATGAGATTTCACTTAATCTACCATTTTGGCAGTTGTTTAATACTATGTTCACTATGAAAATAAATAAATGTAGAAAAGCCTAAAAATATTATTGTTTTGCATTATTAAAAAAACACAGTCAGCATGTTCAGAGCAGCGAGAGTCTTCTCCTTTCCAAAGGTTTTGTCGATTTCTCAATCCAGGACTGAATCCAGCACACACGCCAAAGCATCGAACCCTGACGTACAGTATTTTTGCCAATCCCTTTTGATTTTTTGTTCTGCTCGGCAATTTGTAATCAATCAAGGCCTGCGTTTATTTGAAGACATTTCAGATTCATATTGCACTGGCACTGTGGCTACGAATTCAGCGGTTCTGCCTTTTTTTGTGCCATTTTGGTGACCCAGGAGCTCCGGAACGCTCACAGTGATGAGCTCATGGGGATACGGAGGGAGGAAGAAATGGAGATGTCTGATGACGACTCGGAGGAAAACTCCAGTAAGAAAATGCGGGGAGATGACTCAGGTACGCTCCCTCCACACAGAAACAGAGAGTATTCCTAACTGGAATGAAGTGAACTAAGTGGTCAGAGGAGGGAGTTACAAAGGAAAAAGCAGAGGTAAATTCAGGGTTTAAATGTAAAAAATAAATAAAAAAAAAACAACATTTGGGCTGCGGAGCCTTCTTCGGGTGTGTACAGGGAACAATGGTTAAAAAAACATTCAGACCTGACAATAATTGAACAGTTGCAATATTGAATGGCTACATAAATGTGTGAATAGTGTATTTGCCACTCATTCATTTTAAATATTGACTAAAAAGGCATCATATTGTTGGTTTGTCTTGGTTTAAACTTCTTCCGCCTTTGAATCCCTGAACCATTTTAGCTGAAACCCATCTCTTCCAGCAGTGATCAAGGTTTGCAGCCTTTAATCAATGAAACTTCGGTTTTTGAGTGAGTTAGCTGATTTCCATGTTTCCAGTTAATGCCTTAGTCTAGAGTTTACAGAATGTGTACATATTCTAATCCATTTTATATAAGTGCATTACTTATTCTTCTGTACAAATGAGAGTGGTTGTTGAGCAAACTCCTTCTGTAAATACAAATATATATATTCATTGTCAAGATGGACAAAAGAGTTCAGACTTCCCTAAAGTATTCAGTACTTCTTTATTAGTTTGTTCTGTATCTGAATCTCCTTTTATATCAAATTCTGAGTCTGAAACTGCAGCTAGTGTTACTACTGCTACTGACATTTATATGTGATTTGTGGGGCTGAAGTCAGAGTTAAACACGGTTTTACTGTTGACCGCTAGCGTAGGTTTGAAATGGAATTCCCTTCAGCAATTATGTGACTAATTTGCGAACTACTCATTTAACAGGAGCAAAATAATCCAAAAATTAAATTCTGTTATGAAATGATTGGCACTGCAGTTTGAAAAATCGCTTTAATTTAGTTCACATTGGAGAAATCCATTTGGAAGAAGCATATAACATCACTGGCTTCAGCCAAACATGATTATAAAAACAAATTTGTGCATATTTGTCACATAGACGCTTGCCTATAAATGATATTCGCTGTCCTGGAGGCATTCCTAAATGTTTAACCCAACAATATTTCAAACCAATATCATACGTGACAAAAATGGATTTCATTGCAAAAAAAAGGATTCAAGACATCTAGCAGGAATATTAGTCAAATGAGATGTAGTGCTATATTAGAGCATCTATGGCAACCGAACATTTTCAGAAAACCGAGAAATCAATTATGAGAGCTACAATTTATTTTAGTGCCTGTGAAATGACAGCTATGCTGCCTGGTTTTGACAGTTATGCTTAAAATATGTTTTCTGGATCTGGATATAGAGAGGAGAAAACAAAGCAAGCAGCCATCTCTTTAATTGGGAATGAAGTCTCTTCCAATGAAACAGTAAATAGTTTTTTTTTTCCCCAGGCTTACTTTCAGACTACCGGATTACTAACAGTAATCTTCTGTTTACAATTAAATGCAGCACAACTATAGTCAATTGTTTTGTATATGTTTGTGTTCTGAAAACACTGGCTCGAATAAGTTTGTGGTCTTAGTTTGCTTTAAATAAAAAGCATTTGTATCTTCTCAGCATTTTCAACAATTAATATTTAACAAACAATACCAAAGACCACATTTCCAATAACTAGGTGAATAATATATAGCGTAAAACTGTTTTTATTAGCCTAATTTAGTCTGACATTTATTCAAATGTGGGTGGTGATGAAATTGCAGCAGTAAAATTAATTTTGTGTTCCTACGTTAGGCAATACAGCAAGGAATCTAGAAAAGTAAAATATCAGGCTGCTGAAAAAAAGTCCTCATACTGGCCACAGTAGAGAACAATACTCAATGGATGAAAAGAAGGAGCTGGGATGTTGCACTGTAATTATGTGTGAGTTAACACAGTTTTACGTGAAACTGGCTTTTCATCCAAGGGGAGAGCAGTTGTCCTCTGTGTGCTCCAGGCTAGGTCCCTACGTTCTCTGAGTGTTATCAGGATGAGTGGTGTGTTGATAATGGATGGATTGATCAACACCATTTTAATTCAATCTATTACGTGCATGTGGAAGGTACGGGCGTGAATTTCAACTTAGTGCCTTGTAGTGCAAAGTAAGAGTGAGATGTCCAATTATGGAGGGAGCGTGTCCTGGTGGTTTGTATTGCTGACTGAAGATGTAGGGTTCAATGCTCAATTGTTCAATTGTTGTGATCAATGGTGACCTGGGGTGTCTGTGTGGAGCCTGAATGTTGTCTTCGGGTTCTCACGGGCGTTTGCTGGGTGCTCCAGTGTTCACCTCCTCCACCACCATCCCCACCATTGTTCCTTGTACTTTGAGGACAGTCTCAAGTTTTCCATGACCTTCACCGGGAGATACGCTTGACTGCTGCAGGATGGAAGTGGTTTCAATTGGTCTTTTCTGTCTGTTACTTTATCTGTCATTTTACTGGACTCCACATGAAAATTCAGTTCCTGGCAAATGGAACAGTTCCTGGCAAAATTCGGTTCCTGGCAAATGGTCTGTTATCTGATTTTTAAAAAACAAATTAATGTCCAAAAACCTCTTTTGGTGATCAATTCTCCTCTGTACAGTATTCAAGAGAAGGTTCATCGTCATCTATTATCATTAGTCTGTAGCATTTAGACTCACCCAATTGTATTGAGAAATGTGGGATGTGGGGTTAGATTTGATGTTTATAATTGTGGGTTGAACTTAAGTGGAATGTACCAAAAATGGAATGTTGAGGGCATTGGAATGTACCAAAAATGGGAGGGGGGTGAAACATAAACAATGGACAAAAGAGTGGTCACTACTGGCAGATTTCTAATTATTGAGGCCAAAGATTGACTTTTTTCCTGAACTTGAATGATAAACACTGTTTATTATCGCTGTTATTTAAACATTTCATTTGAATTGGTGAGGTAGGAGCTCAAGACAAATGAGGGACTGTAGTTTGGGGGGAGGGACTGTAGTGTTGACAAGGCCTGCTCACTTTCCTCTCACCATGCCCAGCCCTGGCTGCCCAGGCCTGTGCTCTGAAGGAAGAGAACGACAGCCTGCGCTGGCAGCTGGACGCCTACAGGAACGAGGTGGAGCTGCTGAAGCAGGAGCAGGGGAAGCTGTACAGGACCGAAGAGGACCACACCAGAGAGCAGCAGCTGCAGTTCCTGCAGCAGACAGTGCAGAGCATGCAGCAGGTACAGGGCTGTGTCCTCCCTACACCCCCGTTCACTCACTCTTCTGCAGCAGACAGTGCAGACACCGTGCAGGTACAGGGCTGTGTCCTCAGTACACCCTCGTTCACTCACTCTTCTGCAGCAGACACTGCAGAGACAGGGCTGTGTCCTCACTACACCCTGGTTCACTCACTCTCCTGCAGCAGACAGTACAGAGACAGGGCTGTGTCCTCACTACACCCTCGTTCACTCACTCTCCTGCAGCAGCTGAGAAGGGTGGTTGCTGTCTCCCCGCGGCCAGTTTAGGGATCCATCCTCAGAGAGGAGCCCATCAATAAAATAATGCACATATGGAACATAGAGCCTTGAAAAGTTGTTTTACATAATGAATATTAAATGCATTTTTTAGCATTGGCCAAATCCCACATTTCATTATTCATGCTAATAGCTTCTTGGGCCATAATTATTTTTGCCATTATTAAGTTCAGGCATTCTTCGAGGCACATAAAAATTGTTAATGCTATTCACTCTCGCAGCAATATCATTTTATTTGCATATTGCTCACTCTGTCAACACTGGCAGCCTCACTGCTCTTTGTATTTCTAAGAGGGGTGCAACTTCTGTAATTGTATTAAATGTGTTTTTCATGTGTCCTAGGCGATATTATTACTTCTTTATTAGTGACTAAGGTAATTTATTATTTTTTCACTGAGAGATAAATGCATTATTAAACCCAATCTTTGACATGTTTAAACACAGTGTGGAGGCAGTGCACTGGCATGGCACTTACCAAAGTTGCCTCACAGCTCTTGAAAACCGGATCTGATTCTGGACTGAAGAACCTTTTGTGTGGCTTTTGCATGTTCTCAGGAATTTTCTCCCACCTCCCAAAAGAATTGCTGGCTATGATATGTGGTGTCTCTCAATTACCTGTGCGTACCTGTGCGTGTGTGTGCCCTGAGATAGACTGGTGCCCATCCCTTATTGTGTGCTGTGGGGCTGCTGTGACACGTAAACCAGACTGTGTCGACTACACAACATTTGGAACAAGTGGACGGATCTCTGTCCTGCCTGCTAATATTTCACAAAAAGGAAATAGTGACCGACAGGACATAAAAGGTCTCGAGGATTTCTTCAGAGTCAATTTCTAAAACGTCACATCACAACATCTCATGATTTAAATTCTGTCTTTGTTTTTTTTTTCCCTAGCAACTGTTGGATCTGCAAGAAGAGTTAAAAGCGAAAGGATATGAGCTAGAACACGCAAAGGATGAGCAGAGGTGCCTGGAAAGGGAGCTTGCAGCCTTGAAAGAAAAAGTAAGGAAGTCGTATGGGCAGAGAGGGATATGAAGATGCAGTTAAGATACTGTATGTCATTACAGTAAAACATCAGAATTTGCCAGAACTATATTCACATTTAGCCCATTCGCACAAAATCTGAGCACGTTTTCCACATCCACATCATTTAGATCTATGGATCTACTTCACCTGACCTGCATTGGAACAGTAAAGGCATATAACATGATAACCTGCATGGCTCCCTAGGGTATCATTGTCTTAGTTGTCATGTGTCTCATGTAAAAGGATAAGAAAAATGATAAAAGAGAGAATGAAACAATTTGCAGGAGCAGGAGAGTGGGAAGGGAGTGAGTGCATGTCATGTACAGTACTGTCTCTTCATCTGCACATTTAACATTTGCAAAATATGTTTTCATTTCATTTGTGATTCAGAGGGGGGTGGTAAAAGGAAACACACAGGGGTTTAATAGTGCACAAAATAATAGTGACAGGACGTGAGACAGTGAAGGGGCGATACAAAGAATGGCATCCAAATCCAACCAGGTCCAAAGGCAGGTCAGGGCACAAGTCCGAGAGTCCATCAGCAAGTAATCCATCCTGGGACGCAACAAGGTTAAAATCCCCGGGAGGGGGGAACACATGAACAGACAAAACATAGAGGTCCAAGGGTGACGGGGCGAGATCCTCCAGACCCCGGGCTCAGGAAGTGGGAGGTGTTGGGGATGAGGCCTCTGCCCTCAGGAGATGAACGTAGGGTTTCCTGGTGCTAGGCGGGCCTCGCGACATCCTTACCCTAATGATGAGCCCCGAGGACTGGAGGAGCTAGTCTTTAAATAATACACATAACACGGTACACCTGGGGGAGTTTAATCACAAGAACAATAACAGGAGTAGTGGAGCGCCCTCTAGGGAGGAATGTCAGGCGTAACAGTAAGGCCCTCCTGTAGGTAGAATGGCCTGTTCTCTTTTTTTTAGTTTTTCTAAACTGGATACAGTATTTGGCTACAGCTGGGTGGACTGGAACAACTGGGGTAGAGGACAGAAACTTACTCAGGGGTACAACAAAAGCATCTCCGGTGGAAACTTGGACCCACAGATTGTCAGTAATGAAACCAGGAGGCTTGACCATTGCCCTGTGTTACTCCTGTTACCAAATAAGAGGACAATGGTATATTCCCTCAAGTATGTTTCTTTCACATACAGTCAGAATACAGTTATTGTAGCTGTTATCTTTTTCACTGACGTATTATACTTTAAATACAGTATTTAAGGACCTGAGCTTACTAGCCAGTTTATTACGAATCCTGTCCTGAGACCGAATGAAAAAGATGGAGGACATCTTTTGTAATTTACAGGCAAGCACCATCGTCTTTTCCCCAACTGCGGGCAGCCAGAGATTTCCCTGCTGACACATGTTTCCTTTTCAATTGCACTCAGTGGAGAGTGTAGCCAAAACTGACAGCTAGAATAGAGTGCAAAAAATTCATTCAGTCTGCCCCCAAAGGAAGCTGGTTTGGAAACGTCCCAACCCAAGTCCCCTCAGTTTTGAAGTTTCCGTTCTGTTAGCGGGGGATACTTGAGAGAGAAAGAACCTCCTGCACAAGCCAGGCTAATTCACTGCAAACAATTCCTCTGATCCGTATCCAGACAGTGTCAGCTGATGCTTTTCCACTGTCAGTGTCCATATCTGCTGCTGACCCTGCAGCTTCTCTCTTTCTAACCTTTGCTACTGTTCCTGTTCTCTGTCAAGAAAGTCAGAGCACATTGACCATAATGCCATTCTCCCCATGTATTCTTTGTGATTCAAGGCTCTCATCCTGTTGTGTATTGAAAGACGTCAGGGTATCTACATCAGCAACACAGCGGGGAAGCTTGTTCCATTTTCCAATTACCCTTTCTCTGATACAACAGCAGTGTATCAGAAGTGCCTCCTGGTCTTGGTTTCAAATGCTCTTCCACTTAGTTTCCACTTCTGTCCTATGGTTTGTGTTTCAGTGTGTTGACTTAAAAGGTTTATTCCTTGAAGCCTTGAAATACATCTGGTTGCTCTGCACCAGTATTTTTTTAATATTAGGGTCAGAAAACAAACGTCTTTACTACCGCTCTGTATATGTCACTTTTTGTGAATGAACTAATGTAAACCTCATAGCTGACAACCTTTTAATTGTTACATCATCTGTATCTTTCGGCATGGCATTTCTAATAAGTTATATCTGTTAGGCAGTGCATTTGCAGTCTCTTGAAATACATGAGCATTATTATTTATATTTGCTATTTCAGTGCATCCAGCTTCTGTAAAATGTATACACTGTATAGACGTAAATGTATAATAATTTATAGATTGTGTCTTGTCAAGGTTGAATTAGACTGAAATGTTCTTTCAGCACTTAAAATATGTTTTCTTTAATGTTGCACAGTTAATAAACAATATGGATACTGTGGAGATGAGCAGCAATGGATTACATGAAAAGGTATGTGTGTCCTTCCAGGATGTTTTTCTTATTTGATACACAAGCAGCATCTTGATGACCTATTTCTGCCTGTCAAATGTCTTCAGACTTTTTTTGTATAAATCAGACCTAATCTGGAAATGTCCTTTCCACATTATGGGTCCGCCTGTCACTATATTAGGGGGCACATTGCACATGCAACAGTCACCACTACTGCAGTGGAATTCATCTGCAGGGGGTGGCCTTCAATGGTCTATCAATACTGTTGAAGTTATTGGCCTTTCCTTTAGAACTAATGCATACATTAGTGCAACAGAGACAATGCTGACCAATGATACCATAACAACTGTAACTGAGAACCACTAGTGGTATTAGCATAAATCATGATAGATAGGTTTTAAAATGACTTGTATTATTCAATTATGTTGAACAATGTAATAAATTCCATTTCACAAAACACATTTTTCACATTAGGTTTAGGAAAATTAGAAACTACTCACAAATCTCTTCCAATAAATGTCAATTACAGCGTGAACATTACAACTGCAGACTTTCCAGCGATATAAGCGTTCCAGCTTGATTAAGTAAAGATAAACAGATGGATCAAAAGATAATTTTAATATGGTTTTAGATATTGGAAGACAAAACTTTTGTTCTCAGCAATAACTTCCCAGATATTTGATATTGCTCATGATTTTTAAAAGCCCTCATGGAATATGTCAGTGAAATTCTATACAGTTTTTATAGGAAAAAAGGCCCAGAAGTTACTCCAGAAATCCTGTATGGGGTGTTCTGTACCAATCCAGGTTATGTAAGGGTTTGAACCCAGTCTTACGGGGTATCGTCTGTTTGTAAATCAAATTCCTATTGTATAGACTTTATATTTACGAAGTTCAGTTTATGGAAAACATCCATTTGTACTTCCAGCTGTTCTGACAGGTGTCATTCACTCTGTGTGCTGAACAGGGAATGAATGGATGCACTGTGTCGAGCCTTTATCAGAGTCAAGAAAAGAAAACTGAGACTCATATCCGAGGACCTCTGAAGTCAGAAAAAGAAGCTCTTTTACTGGGTAATTGTACTACATTTCTGTGCTAGAGCTAGCTTTTGATCTATAAAAATCTCCAGTAGCAAGAATCTATAGGGAATAGTGGGTAAGAAACATGCCCAGTTTAATAAATGTGCAATCTTACATAAGGGAAAAAATACATTAAATGAGCTAGTATTTTTTTAGCAACATAAGCCCCTGCATTTCAATTTAAAATCAGATAAGACTGATGAATTTCACGCAGAAGATAAATTGAAGGAATATGTAAAGCAGGATAATACAGAGGCTTTGATTCTTATGAGGTCTTCTGCATCAAATGTTTGTCAGACTGTGCCGGTGAGATGAGAGATGTGTCATATTGTGAAAGGGAACACAGGGGACTTGTACAGCTTTCATTGCCAACTGCTTGCCTGGCTGCTGACCAGGGACAGACTCTGGAGTCTGGTTTCATCCCTTCATGTGCCCACAATTTCCAATGGATGCCCATGCTGTAGATACACTTTAGATCCCAACGAAAATCCATTTGTGCAAACAGTGGAGGAACAGACTTCACCCAAGTCAACAACCACAATATAGGCATGCTTGCTTAAGAAAGATTAATCGATTCATTCTTGCCTACGAATTTGGATTTGTGAGTCTTGGGAAATGCATACCGACAGAGAGATGTCACACACAAGCAAGATGAAACATATTGTAGCTGTTCGGTTTCCCTTTATAATGACAAACTCCTTTTTTAAAATTTAATCAGTAATGAACTGTTCTTACATAGCTCTTTTCATCCTAAAGGATCCCAAAAAGCTTTACATGTCGGAGGTGAGTCACTTTCCTTTGCTACTAAAGAGCAGTAGCAGCCTCACTGCATAGCACATTTTTCAAATCACATTCTGAAATAACTATTTCCTGATGAAAAAGCAGAAGGCCCATTGCTAAAATTGCTTTCCTTTTTAATAGAGTCTTAAATATCCATTAGTTTTCAGTGTTACAAATGAATCAGGATACAACGTAGTTCACCGTTACCCACAGAAATCTTTGGTGACCTTTCAAAATGTTTAAATTGATTTGACAGTATAAGAGAATTAGTGAGAGGTTCAATGCATAAGCAGAGCTACTGTATACACACGTTTTTGCCCTGTATTCCTTCATAAGGGCATACAACAGAGGGCATACAACAGTTTGCCTCTATCTACTGAAATGTTCATGAAACGGCCACTGTGGTATTTAAATCACTAAACAGAAACATCAAACATGTCTCAATCTCACCTTTCTAAACAAGTGGCCATTACAATACAGTACATACAGATTTATGTTCTCTTTGCCTTTATATGAAAAAATAATCTAAGAAAAAGTATTTTGTAAAATAATGATAACTAAATGGACAGGCACCACTATTAAAATAGCAAGGCATCACATTGTCCTACTGTATGTATAAGAAAATAATCTAGTATAATTAGAAGAATAAGAAAATTCTAAGAACTCCACCCAGACTACGGCACGTTTTTCAGCATGCATATTATCTGTAAGGCTTCAGCTGGTCATATCCTTAAAATCCAGCCTTGTATTTTTAAACACTTCCACCCCCCTCTCTGCTGAAACACTGCGCCTTTACAATAGGCCCTCTGAAGGGAATTGCATGTGCTTCTCCTGTAATTGGCAGCGTTACGCCATATAAATCAAGGAAATAAATATTGGCTCCTGGTTCTCAAGAGACGGCAATATATTCTCCTCCCTCGCATTGTTCCGTTCCTTTTCCAGGACCTCTCTCAAGTAATAAGCTTAAGTAGTTGTTTCAGCTCCACCAGTTATTTTATTATTGTGCCTGCATTGTTATTGCATCGTATGCGTGTGAGGGCCATTTTGGTTTTGACCCGACAGTTTCAGACATGTTTAATTAACCTTGCCTTTTTGCCTGCAGGAATTATATCTACCTTCCTGCACGTCCACCCATTTGGTGCGAACATAGAGTACCTCTGGTCTTATATTCAAAGACTGGATACCAAGGTAACCTATCTGTTGATCAATTGCCTAATACAACTCAAGGGTACTGAACTCTGGATGGCTGTGCTTTCTTTTTATGTACTACTTTAATACATGTAGTCTTTAAAGCACCCTTCACAGCTGTATTGTAAGTTGATGTACATTGGACGAAATGAAGATAATAGAAACGCAGGCAGATAAAAAACAATACAACATACACTGACAACATCCAGCCAGTCAAAAGCAAAATTAAACAAATGAGGTTTTCATGTAAGATTTGATCCCATATCACATATTAGAGTCTTCAACAGTCCACGGCATGGAGTTTGAAGGCCATTACTCTCGTTGGTTTCTAAATCAGCCCTTGGGACAAATAAAAGACTTGAAGTGTTTGAAAATGAAGTGTTTGAGAATGTGATGTTTCGGTCACTAGACAAACAAAACAAAGAAAACCGAATACCCTTTTTGTCCTTCTCAAAATTAGAAACAGTGCCTGTTAGTTCTTTAAGAAAAGATGCTTTTTAAAAGATGTATTTTTTTAAGCAGTCCACTTCTTCAAACTAGTCATGCAGTGCTGGTTGAATTTCTATGGATAAAAATGGGTTTTGTGCTACACAGTACAGAGGGGGGTGTTCTTTAAAGTGTGGGATGGTGCAGATAATCACCTGGGTCTTTCTGTCCTCCTTTACCAGGCCGTTGGTTAATGTTTTTATTGTGTTTTGCTCACTAGATCTCAGCGGCTGAAATCGAAAGGCTGATGGTACGACTGCCCCGCATGTTCAAGCAAGAGTTCACAGGTGTTGGAGCCACGCTGGAAAAGAGGTGGAAATTTTGTGGTTTTGAGGGAATTCACACTGTTTGACACAACAAAATGATTCTGAATCCTTCAGTAAAACGTACCGGAAGACAGCACATTAATTCCCACTCTACCAAAGGTAACAGATGGGTATCTTTTCTATACCACAGGAGCCTGGCTTTTAATTACAGGTGTATTGACCCTAGTGAGTAAAGATTTTGTGCAGCTATATTGGAGACTTCCCCCATTAAAATGGGACAGATGTACTTGAAAAACCCTTTCCACAGTAAACTGATTGTGTAACATACAGTAATTGTCTCTCATAGACTCTCCTGTCCTTGGGCATAGAGCTAAATATGGTACTTTATGCAACTTTATGTTCACTCATGGTTACAAATATATTCTGGGACTCTGAACATAACAAATTTCAATAAGAAAATTCACAATGATTCAGATGAATTAATAAAAAGATATATTGCTTTTAAACAGTTGTGATCTATCCTTACACCAATACTGCATTTAAGCCTCCAATCAAAAGAGCAAAGCAGTCCTTAAGATGCCTTTTTTTGGAGGGCTATACTGTATTTTCCATCACAATATAATATTTTCTTTTACCTGGAAGTGAAAATATTACGGTAAAGATGTCTTCTGTACTTGCAATCCATGTACTGTAGTACAAATCTGTAATGTAATATTATGTTTGTGTACTGCACACATAAATGTTAAGTATTATCTGCTTGTACAAATTATTTTTTATGGAATAAAATGTTTTTATTAAAATTCTGTTGATCCCTATAACAGAGATCAGTTTTTCTCAACCAGATCTAGCATTCCTGAAGTACAAACAGCACATGTACACCAATGAAATATACAGTACAGTATGTACTGTATTACTGTTTTTCAGTTATAAATAATATAAACATTGCTAAGAACAGATTGGAATTACAGTACATTGAAATACTTCTGACATTTGTTATTTTAATATTTTATTTCACGGCAGTTCATAATACAGAAGTAAGTAAATCTAGACTAGTTTATGAATTCTGCTGGAATCATTTTGTGTTCATTTCACAAGGGTAGAAAACATCAAGTACTGCTATTACTGCACTTTTAAAACCTGGAGATCACCCAGCCCTAAACTGCCATGAAAAGTACAAACCAATCAATAGAATGACCATAGCCCAGGAGAAAACAGAATATTCAGCTGAAATGTCATTTAAGTTTCAAGAGCAAATAAAATGCAAGAAATAATCAGACCTCTACATCGGCCATGTTGGCAGAGGCTGTCACAATCTCTGCTTGCTTGTCAGGTAAGTCATGAGCAGATTAATCCGACATGCAGAGGGCAATACTTAACACACTCCTCGGAGACCTTTGACACACACAGGAATCTGAGGTTTGGGCACCTCCGTTATTGCAGATAATCTGCTCTTGGCTCACTCAGCCTTTTGATGTTTAAATGTGAAAGGTCCACAAACCCCATACAGTAAAGTGCTGTGTGTGTGTGTAACATAGGTCTTGGCCAAACATTTGACTTCAACCCTAGCGAGTGGTCTTCAAAAAATGTATCAAGGGGTAGGGTTTGTCCCCGAGAGGCTGCAAGAAAAAAAGCATCCTGTAATGCTCACGTTCAGTACCTACACAAAACTGGATATGGTTCAGAATATTTTAAGACCACAGGAAAGTCATTTCCGATAAAACAATAACAGTGGGGAAGATGCAGAATCTCTTAGATTGACCACTAATTTAACCCCAAATGCTCCTTGCATGCGTGTCAAGACCCCCAAGAAACCAGCCACATTAACTACTGTATTAAAATGGCACTATGATTAAATAGTGCAGCAACTAAAAGGTACGACAATCAGGATGATGTAGATGGACCCTACAGCAATTCTTTGAAACTTATTACCTGCCCTGGACCAGGATTGGACACCTTGGACACCCCTGAGTTACACTATTTGTTTTAAGACTATGCTTGCAGTTCTTATATAAGTTTACATCCAAAATCCAACTCTGTAGTATGAAGGCATTATAACCTTGACCATATAATTTGTATAAAGAGAATTAACCGAAAGCCTCTTGACCTCATGAAAACATTAAGTGAAAATACAGAAATTGTGAAGAATTGCTACAAATATTATACTGTACGTGGCAATAACTGAAGCAGATTAGCACTCAGAGGATTTGGGGTGTCTAATGTGTTAAGTGTTTTACCAAAATTGAAGATTTAAGTTATGTGCAAAATTGCAATGTGCTTGGAGTTTGTATTGTGCGTTCTTTATGTGTTCACATGTGTTTCGTCTGGGTGATCTGCTTTCCTCCCACAGTGCAAAGACAAACTGGCTTCTGGGAAAACTGGCCCTGGTATGAAGGTGTGTGTTTGTGGCTGTGTGGACGTAATGAACTGGCATCCTGTGCAGGGTGTGTCCCACCTTGCATCCACTGCTTCCTGGGATAGGCTCTGATCCACCATGACACTGAATCGGAGAAGCTGGTATTGGAAGTGATGTGATAATGATGTGATATGATGTTACATACATTTTTTTTCAAATGTTTCAATTCTCTTAAGAATTATACATTATAATTGTAATGCGTTTGTTCTTCTTGACTCCCTTTCCTTAGCTGTATTGTACATATTTTAAACAAAGTGTGAGTTTAACCCACACATATAAAAACTGGCACATACACTGGTTAGAAGACAAATAAGAATTAAGAATTTAGATTTCATATTTAAAAGAGTAGATGAAAATAGCAGGAGCAACAAATTATATCATAATATCCCTTACACAGATTCACTGCTGCGTTAATGACAAAACAGTGTCATTGTGAGAGGAACAAATCTTTTTTTATATCTTTTTTGTACCTGGAGCAATCAAAAACAAGAACACTGCTATACTACAAAATTCCCCCAGTTTTTACTAATTAGTGCTGTATTGTTACAGAAAATTGCCGTTTTCACAGAAACCTGTTTTTAAAGAGAAAATAACCGTGGCTGTTATTGTCGGCAAACTGCATTGTGCAGGCTGACAAAAATAATTAAAGTAATTGTAGATCAGACATAGCAATTAACTTTAATCCCTTTCTGGGTCAAATGGGGCAGCCAAAATAAGCAAGTACCAGAGGAGCCTGGCATAGGCGGAGTGGCTCAGAACTGAATTTCAGAGGATTTTGATCATTTTTTTTTTCTTCAAAGCACTTCAAATAATTAAAAAAGAAGAAACCGATACTAAGATTACGTTCTGCCAGTGAACCCTGCAGCATATCGTCACATGATATAATGTTATTGTAGACTTCTTTGCTTACAGATAACATTTGTATTGGTTGTATTTGGTGTCAGGTTTAGGACTTTACTGCAGTTTCATTACTATGTGACAGAAGAGCAACTTTATCATTTTTTATACAAAACTCTTAGTATTATCAATCTTCCCACAAAAATGGAGAGGCTGGTTCAATTTTCTGACATGCTCAGATCTTGGACTGTTAACTTTCTGCTGGTAGTTCTATGCAAAAAGTGGCTGCTCAACAATGGCTGCTCACTGACAAAAGCTGTGCACATTTCCACTGTCAAATTGTACCATTAGCATATTTTCCAAAGCCTTTCTTTTGACAGCTGAACAATGCATTGACATCATGACAATGGAAAAACAATGCTCTTTCCGCCATGAGAATCTTTGCACCCATGCCTATTGTCTTGTACCGACACTAATACGTTCCAAGTGACAAAAGCAAATTACACTGACTTTTTTAAACAAAACCAAGTTTAGATTTAAACCAGAAGGCATGTACAGAATAGAAAATCTGAAGATTTTGTGATAGCTGGAACGTTTTAGTTACATTTCAATTGTTGCGTGTTCTGGGCACTGCACTAGCATTTTTTCCCATTACATTTAAACATTTAGTTAGCATCTTATTTATGTGGTAGCATTCATGGATTCAAATGGAACTGCAATTTGATTTTGGGGAAATGACTGATTATATAAGGGAAAATATCTCCATCTACAAACAGAGCCCAGTGGAAATGTACTGAATCATAAGTCTGTTAATGAAGGTTTTAGAAGTAACCGCTAAAAATAAATTACATAGGAGTGGGAATGAACAGGCAATAGCTTTGCATATATTTTGATAATGAAACCACTTGGCAGCAGTTAATTAGTTGCAGCATGTTTATGTATTGTTAACTGGAGCAAGAATATTCAAATCAGTGCCTTTTGAACAAAGTGAAATTTGGGGAATATTTTTTTAAGTATAAATTTAAAGGAGTAAAGTATACACCGTCTGCCAGTTTGTGTTAATTCATTTCTAACTTTCTGTTGTCACTTCAGCATTATATATAATGTTGACTACCCGTTCCCACGTGCTACCTATTCCAGTTTGAAAAAGATGTATGTTCTTTTGCTTATGAGCGAAAACAAGCAGGTTATGCACAAAAGCTGAAAACACTAGGAGGGCATTTAAATCTTTAGTCAGTTCAATAGAGATCACCCACATGGTTCTCTCTTACTGATCTTTTTAACTGTGCACTTTTTCAGTTTCAGTTTCCAGTTTAAGGTGAACGTTCAGAAGGGGATAGTTTAAATTGTTTTTCTTATGTAGGAGGAAAGACTCATGCACAGTATATTAATCTAAAGTGACTTATCTCTGCACCCATTTTATACAGCTGAACATTTGAATGAGGCAATCTCAGTGAAAAACCCAGCTCAAAGATGCAACAGTAGCAAGTCAACCTGCGTCTGAACCCAGGACACCCAGTTAAGAAATCAAAGTTCTTACTACTACCCTACACAGTGCTCTCAGACAGTCCTGTTACACGTTCGACTTGAATTCAGTGTTCTCCATTGCAGAACAGTTTAGGGAAACCATCTCAGAATCAGTTCAATCAACCCCTTCTCATGTAGTTAAAGATGCTTGCCTACTACTCAGAAGGTCCAAGATTCAATTCCTGGTCAGTAAGGAGAAGGGTCCCACTAAGAGGTACATTGACCAGTATCTTTTTCATTAAGAAAAAAAAACAAAGGCTTTAAAATTATTTTATAAAGAATTAAGGGGGAATAATTTCTCAGAATAATTTTTCTGGAATAATTAGAGTAAGCAAAAGTGCACTCTTGTGTTCAATAAATGCGTGACACGAACTTAACTAAATGCTTTCCTTCCTGGTTTGTGCCCAGCAAGCTCCAGCAAAAATAAAATATAAGAAGATGCATGGCTGCTTACACAATTACTACTGTTCAGAATGAATTTGATCCATTAAAGAACAGCTGTAAAATGCAGTTATGATGTTCCATACATAACTTAACAGCAAAGTACCTATTCTGCAACACAGAGCTGCTACTGACAATAACAACTATTATGAAGATGCTACTTACATAAAATAATACAATCAAATCCAATAAAATACTACAATGCTTTTACAAACAAAATAGACATTTGAAAGATATATTATACTAGGCTATTTTGTATACAAATGTATTAACAGCATTGTACCCATATTTTTTCTAAATTGTTGTTATTCAAGAAGTACCTACAACAGTTGCTTAGCAACGAGTCCATAGCTTTTTCTACTCTTAAAGCATGTCAGCTGGCTTCAGGATGCTTGTGATGCTGATTAGTTTGAGAGCTGTTTCTAAAACACATGTACCAAGATGTATTAAAAATGCTATTGCTGTTGTTGCATTTTTAATACCATATTACCACTGCTACCGTGAATTTGTATGTCTAATGATTCAGCTTTCACAGAGATAAAGATTGGAAATTTGTGGTAATTGGTGGTTGACACAATAGTGAAATTAACCCATACTAACCCCAAATTAAACCCA